AGATTACACGATTTCCTGGAAGATTCTAAAGCAGGCCGCTCCATACAGCCCTGTCTCAAATCGCTGTAACTTATGTCTCTGGGAGAAGTACTTTATAATTTGCAAACCCGATTTAGCCTCTCTTAACAAACGAAATGAACTGTTAGCCTCATGTAGACATGCTAAGAAATTCCTCCTGAAAAATTTCAACACTTACCCTGGCACGCAATAGTGTCCGTTTTTTTTATTTATCATCTAGCCTTTACTTTTAATGCACGCACGTTTGTGTTTATTCATTGCCACGCTTTAGTGTCTGTGTTCATTTATTTTATTTACTTATTTATTTCTAGCCCTTACCTTTATTGCGCGCGCGTAAGGCAGGGAACCCATATATGGTAGGTATCACGCTATTTCGAATCGGTGAACGTTATTTCAAATCAGTGTAACGTTGTAAGTTCGCATTTGGCAATTTTATCCGACGAGTGCCACACAGGCTGTGTGGTACGAAACTAAATAGTAAGAGATGCCAAGCCAAATCTTCAGTTGACCACCCCGTTCTCAATTATATATATATATATACAGTAGCAAATGGACTACTCAAGTTATGCACATATGGGTTTTTATACAGCCTGTTTCGTAGACCAACAAAAGTTGATCCACTCATCAGTCAAACTCCATACACACTGAGGCATCGTGACGGTTAACTCTAACTCAGCAACGTGATCACATGACATTGTTTAAAAAACAATTGGAGTTTGACTGATGAGTGGATCAACTTTTGTTGGTCTACGAAACAGGCTGTATAAAAATCCATATGTGCATAACTTGAGTAGTCCATTTGCTACTGTAATCGCTCCTCCATTGTCGAGCACTGTCCTGGATCCTACGTTGCCTATTTCGCTTATATAAATATATATATATATATGTTTCACGATGAAATTTGCGTTCTTCTATTTACAGGTCTTCGTACGAAGAGCCACGTTGCGAAGAAGGCTTTGAAGAGATTGTTAAAGTAAACTTTGTACCAAAGTTTAAAGACGACCGGGTGAAAGAATTGTACATGCAGTTTCATAACTGAGATTTAAAGTTAAAGTAACAAGGAAACTAAATTGATTAAAAAACTGAGAGCTTGGCTAGCTTGCACTCTCTCAAAACGTTGATAATTGTTAAGGATCGCTCTATTGATTCCTAACAAGTTTCTGAATTGTCGAAATAAAAAAAAATGTTTATGACAGATGCGTTAACGTCTGGGGATGAAAAATGTTAGAAAGGAGAATGCAACATAGCAGACCGAAAAACGGCAGTTAAGAAACATTGACACGACTTGCTAATCTGAAATGAATCTATTGCGGGTTCAAATCCTCAGTTCATGTATGATCAACTCTTATAGCTGTTGCCACAGTTTTTTCTCTCTTAGTTTTTCGTATACCTGTCTGCATGCGTGATGTCCCCACAGGCATAGTATACACCGCTTGCGTAAGGGACACCTATCATGAACGCTTTTCCTGCTCCTTAATTCAGTTAAACCACAACACGGCTTCGAATATGAGGTTACTATTAAAGAGGCTTAATTTGGAATTCGTGGACCGTAGAAAGGATCCAGACTGGTAGAGTAGTACTTTCTGATGTTTTTATTTCCTTGTGAAATCTTCCATTTGGAAATTTAGAAAGTGAAATTTGGATAAATTTCCTCTAGAGCAAGACGATTTAACATGTAGAAATTACTTTGGCATGTCAGATGGCCAAAGTAATTACAATACAAATTTTACCCAATGCAATTTTAAGGGGTTATGAAAAGGAAAGATGGAGACAATTTGCAGGTAGATAATATACATTGGTTAAAGGAAATTTCAATTAAAAATCAGACTGCCAGCAAGCTGATTTAAGTTTGATATTTCAGCTTTAAAATTTGAAGTCAGTCTGTAAATGTGCCAAACTGAACTCGAACCGAACCGAATGCAATCATGAATTTAGTGCTGAAGACTGTGGGGTCCTCTTTTCTCAGTTGCAGATCAATCACAACTTATTGGAAACTGTAGATTTGCTACTTAACCTTAGAAATGTGATATTTCGATATTAATTTACTGTACAATGAGACTCAAAATCAGATCATTCCAGAAGTAAACCGTGTGAGAGTCCTCCTCTTACCAGATGAGAAATTCACAACTTTTACGCGTAAGTAATTTGCCACGTCCTTCCGCCTGGACGGCCAGCTCAGCTAAAATCACTCATTTCCTTCATGGTAAACATGTAAGGGACCAAATGTCCCTCCTCTAAATAACTTGAAACGTAATTCCCTAAGTATGTTGGGTCACGAAGTAGGGGGAACTAATTGTGGACCGCACCACGCTAATAGCGCCGTGAAGGCTCCAAGGACTAAGCTCGGCCAATTGGAAATTAGACTAGATATTCACAATTTGGAAACTCATCCCGGTAGGTTTAACCTTAATAACGTCACACTTCGAATTCATTCAGCGACAAATGCTAAATATAAACGTATGATGACTAAATCTTACTGAACTACATACTTTTTGACAAACGTAATAGATTAAACAAAGAATGACCAATTAACTTTGTGACTTCAAATACGAGGAACTTCTAGGGGAAAAAATCCCGTCAACTTACCATGTGAACGAATACTTGGCACATGGGAGACAAGTCCAAAAAGAAGAGTGTAACACACTTCAACTAAAATGTCGCGTGACACAAGGGACTGGTTGGGAATCTAAAAGATCAAAAGCCCTTGTCTGTTAAGAGGCTCGTTGCCACCACGTTCCTGTTTTCGGTGGATCTGACTTCCTAGAATATTGTTGTGAAGTATGAGATTATATTATCTCTCGTAATCGTAGCCCGTCGCCTGTTTTGGCTGGTTGTCTGATTATTTTCTTTTCTGTAGTGGATCGCGTGTGGTATTTTATCATGAGTTGTTTTTAAGTTTTTCAGGTTTGACATTATTCTGAGATCCATGCGTGAATCTTGCGATGGCAAAAACGTAGATTTACATCTCAGAGTAGTTTCAATACTCGTTACTCGAACAATGACTTCCGTCGGTGGTCATGTTTGAGTTTGTCTACTGACCTTGGTTCAACTACAATAGAGTTCCTGTTTTGGGTCTTGTGAACGGAGATTGGCCTTGAATTTGGGAAATATATCACGTACCGTATCTTGATTTTTCAAGTATCATTAAAAAGTATTTGGGTCAGTGATTGGGTCCAAAGGTTTACCTTTATAGACCTCTAAGCCCATAACCCAAACATGCTTACCGATAGAATACCTACTGAAGTGCATGCATTAGAAAGAAATTTCAGTCGAAGCAAAAGCAAAAGAAGTAGCTTTAGCTGCTGGCCGCAGAAGGTGCGAATAAAGAATAAAAATAGAAAGGTATAAAAGAAGATTTTTGATGACTCTCTGCTCTCCCGTAACGCGAGTTGCTCTGAGGATAGGTCGTAAATTATGATGAAGTTATAATGATGGTTTCCACTCTTTTCCTTTTTTATGAGAATAGATAACACTAAATTGTTGAGATGCAAGCGAGCCCCACAGATCACCATAACACCAAAACATGTAACTTGTACAGTGGTTGCTACACCACGTGAGAAATTTGACAGTCATGAAAATATTTACGATTTGTCTTCATTGATGGCAAAAATTTGCATACAACTACTTTCGTCATAATTTGTACACAATCATAAACTGACCATGATAGTGCTGAATCTTTACCGGCATTCTGCTATACTTTTGGTAGGAGTTATAGTACAGTTTGGCTTAAGGATTTCAGGTAAGAGCCTTTATTAATTTAAATAACGAACCACGCCACACATCATTGTTTTGCCGTAACCACTACAATAGAGTCTTTTCTTATGCACGGTCGCATGGATATGACTTCAGATTGTTTCCATCGTAAAGTTAGGAAAGTCCTCGTTGTAAGAAGAGACGGAATAAGAAAAGGAAATCGTAAAAAAGTTATTTTTTTACGGTAATTAAAACGATGTTACAGTTTTAAATCTATTTTTATAAAGTTTGAAATCCACGCTATTTACATGTGTTCAACGTTTTATCATCCTTTGATTATTGTTCCTTTGTCCGAACACGTTTTAATTCGTTCAATCTCTCTTTTTTTTTTTTTGAAAATTGCAATTTCCCACAGAATGTGTTTCACAGATTAAAAACGAACTTTGGGTTTGCGTTAAATAATATCCTTATTATTGCGCTTAACTGAATTTTAATACTCTAACGACTACAGCGGTAAATAAACGATTGTACCACGTGCGAAGAATAACATGTAGATTTCTCGGTATTAACTAGGACAAAGTGAAAATAAATGAAGTATTTGAGTTTTCGCCATTTGCAGCAATCACCATAACTGAAGAATAGCCGGTTCGCACCTAAGATTTAGGTCTTTTAAGAGCCGTCTTATACTGACTATTTAAACCCTGTGATTTAGCGGCCGAGGGCTGCGAATAAAATTTATTTCTTCTCACCTATTCCAGGTGTCACAATTTAAAAGAACATTCTCATATGTGGCCATAGGAGAACTCCAACTTTACTGGAAAATTTACATTCAAAGCAGAGGTTATTTATTAGGTTATCAGGATTCTTTCTTGTTTAAAATTGATGAAAAATTCCATCAAATTACTTTTGTTGTTCTGTGTTCTTACACATCTTGCCTGATCTCGTCGCATTTTGTCGGACACCTCGATTATTGGGTGTAAAACTCAATCAGTTAACTAAGGCGTCTCGTGCCACGATGTAGTTTTATCCAGCTTGTTGCGTGGTTTGCGTGATTTAAAGAACCTAAGACATCTTACAACAGGTCTTTCTGATTGTTTTCATCGCTGGTTCGGACATGCAAACCAACGGGTGTAACTGTGCAGGTTTAAATGTCACGATAGCTGCTTTGATTAACAAGGTATCCCCCCCTTTCCATGAGATTTGACAGGGAACATGGCATTTCAAAGCTCGGTGACAGGTAACGGAGGGAGCAGACCCTACGAAAATAAATGAAAAGGAAGCCATTGGAAAAGAATAGGTGAAGAAACAGAGAAAGAGAGCAGAAGGGACAAACGGACAAATATTGTCTAGTCAAAAGCTACGGATAGTTTGGAAGAAAGGTTTCGAAAGACAGAATTAATCATAGATGAAAATAGCGCAGGCGCTTCTTCAGATAAAAAATGCCTGCATCTCATAGCTTTGAATCGTATTTAGGTTACTTAGAGATAGACTTGAAGACTTTTTTAAAGCACTTCTTACACCATAGAGTTACCTTTGTCGTCGATTCCTGTAATTACAACCATTGCTAGTTAATGATTCGCAACAACACCTTTGTTTTTATTTACTGTGAGCCAAATTCCTCCACTAGGTGTCCTCCAGTCACCATCAGGTATCACTGTCAAAGCAGTAAATGGTTCGGATTTTGTCTTAATATCATGGAAATATCAAGCAAGCGCTAAGTTTTACAGAATCTTCTTTAGAGGATTTGATTCAATGCAGGAAAACTCAAACAGTCCACTACAAGAGGTCGGACCGATGGAAGTTTACTGTTTAGCGGATAATACGACATGTAGTTACTGTGTGTCAAACATTGACAGGGGTGTCTCGTGTAGCAAACTTGACCAACATTATCAGGTACTTTTTATTGAGAGCAAAATGGAATACGAGGTGCCCGTAAGTATAAAGATTGAAGCTTGTGCTGATGTATTCCCTGACACATGCCAGAGTCACAACGAATGGAACAATTATACCATTCCAGCTGGAGGTAAGTGGGTTACATTTGACCTGTCACCTCTCAGATATCAGTTTGCTTGCAAAAAAAATTTCGTAAGAGCATCATTTAGAAATGTAAAGAAGCTGCCACTTCTTCGCAATAAATCAACGCAGCGCTGGTAAACTCAGTTAGCAATGTTGCTGAAGTTCAGTTTTTAAGATAAGAAATCTTATCGTATTCCTGAAACTTTCACCTCTCATTTTTGTAAAAACTAAAAAATTTTTAATCGTCTCTGGGATTTTCCGACGTTGAAATATCTTTAAAACCGACGTTTCCACCAGTTTTACTGGTCTTCCTCAGGTTGTTTAAATGTTGCGGATTATTTAATCTTTCAGCTTGGTGACCGCACATGACGTTTCGTGATTATTACACGACGTTTAAACGATGTCAGATTGCGCGGGAAATGTAGTCTGAGGTCTGTCAAGTACTTCTACTTTTGCGATAATTCACTGCCTATTAGTCTTTTTTTCATGATCAAAGAAGGAGTTTAGGACTGGTTTCCATGCTTCAACTTGGTCAAAATTGTTAAGGACCCTCATTCCACGATGTTTCTGCCGTATTGATTCAATTACTTCTAGAACTTTTCTTTGCTTTAAACCTCTCTCTGTTGCTACGATCTCTGCGTTTCCCCAGTCAACCCCACTTTGGCACTCCACTGTGTGTCGTACCAGGCCTCCATTTTCTTTACCCATTCGTTTTTCGGCCGATAGAATGTTCCCTTTACGAAGGTCCTCAGTTGTTAGCCTCACTTTGCCCATGTGTTCTTTCTTTCTTGTTTAAACACAGGGGGGCCCACACAAGCGGCATGTCTGGTCGTTTGTTCGAAATGTAAAGAAATGTATGGGAGAATATGGAAGAGTCGTAATATCGTAAACTTATATCAAGGAATGTCACTGTTAAGGCTCAAAATAAATGCAAACCTACCTCACTTGCTGTGTATTGTCGTTTCTGTGGTTCTAAATGGCGAATTTGAGCGATTTGGTAGATTTTGCGTTGACTGTTACTTTGCTGTATGAGANACATTTCGAATAAACAACCAGACTCGTCGCATGTCTGGGCCCCCAGTGGGGTGAAAAGCTCATTTTCGACCGCTCCAGCGCGAAGCTAATTTTCACCCAGAAATTAGGATTTCCCGGCTTCCAAATCGAACACCAGATAAACCAAAAGGTTGACGCTTCTTCTCGTATCATTTAATCGAAGATCCATTCAAAATCCAAGCACCAACCGCCAAAAAAACTTTCGAGAAATAAAGCTCTCCAAGCGATCGGCATCCGCGGCACAGATTTCGTGTGCCAGGGAGCAACTGTCACGCTGTTTGCTCCACACTGATTGGATGATGGTAAACAATGCCCTGTTTCAAATGCCTCATGTGAGAGCGGAGTCAGGGGCATATTCGCGTAGGCGATTCATCTACTGACTAGCCTGGCGTAAGATTTATGGCGCTATTTGTTTTATGAGCTATTTATCCAGGTACAATGAATCAATATCTTTGAAGAAACTCCAAGAATTTTTACGATGTCTCCACCCACTTGAAAGACTCTTTCCGCAGCCGATGTATAAATCTTGATGTATATATGAGGATCTTGATGTATAAATGCGAATCTTGATGTATAAATGCAAATCTTGATGTCGGTACGCGAACTTCGATATAATATTTGATTGTCGATCCGAGTAAGGGGGACTTGATCAATATTTATTAGACTTGATGTACTTGCAAGCGGATCTTGATATGTATATTGAAATCTGACTTTACGTCTGTGCAAATCTTGATACGTGTAATCTAATCTTGACATAGATATATAAAACTTGATGTAAAGAAATACAGCTCGATATATTGTCCCTTTTGGACAAGCATACAACTCGAAAAGAGTGTCGGTTAGCAGTTCTTCTGAACTGCTCAGATAACCCTTTCAAATCTGGCATGGTCACGACTCCACGACTTTCCTGTAGACAAAAGAGAACAGGAAGAACAGTGAATCAACGCAAAAGTAGAAGTACTTGACAGACCTAAGACTACATTTCCCGTGCAATCTGACATCGTTTAAAGGTCGCGTAATAATCACGAAACGTCATGTGCGGTCCCCAAGCTGAAAGACTAAACAGTCCGCCATATTGACAACATTTAAACAACCTGAGGAAGACCAGTAAAACTGGTCGAAACGTCGGTTTTAAAGATATTTTAACCTCGGAAAATCCCAGAAACAATTCAAAGAAATTTTAGTTTTAAGAAATCTTATTTGAAATTCCTCCGAGCCGTTCTATTAAATTAAAAGGGATTTGTTGTCATAATCTGTTCAGTTGAGATGATGATGAAGCGAGGTTTGGCGATCCGATTTTTTTGGCACCCCTCAAACACGACAAAAGTAACCTTTGATTGATATAATGAAGTGTTGGACGAACAATTTCCTCTTCATTTTGATTTAAAATGCATTTGTATTCACTCTATATAAAGATAACGATGATGAAGATGTAAGCCAACGTAACATAGAAAACCCTAATTCCCCTTCTTTTCCTTGACCTTCCTCGTCAAACTGACCAAACAGTTTTTAATTCCCTTTAGCGCCCAGTGCAGTGAGGGATGTACATGCAAGGCCATTATCATCCAAAACGGTCGAAGTCACGTGGTCTCCCCCCAGTCAAACAAGAGGAACCATTGTAATGTATACTATACTATACAAAACAGATCACGTAAGTTGAACTCAGTCTTTTTCTTTGGTTTATTCAGTAAAAGCAGACATTTGATTACAAAGCACAGGATCACGTGTAGGGGGAATGAATACTTGAACGAATTCCACTTACTAACTCCACTGACATTACAGGAATTACTCTGACTAACGTATATTGAGACAAATGTTCCCTCTCCGGCGTTCTTAACAATTGTATGATGTGGCCAATGTGGAAGCAAGGGAAGACATTAACTACAGAGGTGGTTGATAGAGTGGTTGATAGAGTAGGACAAAGCTGCGCGAAAACGCGCAGCTTTGTCCTACTGTGCGCTTATCATTTGAAATTGATTTATCGCCCTGCCCTAAGCCCATTGACAATATCTTGTCTCTTACTGTGCACAACTGAGTGAATCACCAAGCCAAATGTGCGTCTTGTAACGGAGTATTTTCACGAAACTTTCCAGTTGAGAACTTGACAATGTCACCTTCTCAATGCAAGTTGAGGTGCAGCCACAAGCCATAGGAACCAGAGAGACCAATCCGCAACTGGTGCAACGTTTGATTCACTTTACTTGAAATGGTGGCATGAGCAAAGCTAGTGTAACTCTGGAAAACTACCTTCGACAATGAATGGGGGCTTCCCCTTTAATTTATTGTCAAAAGAGACATGTTAATGTATGCATGGTGTCATTAAAGGATTGGCGTCATTAAAAACGCCCTGCAAGCGCAAGGATATCAACTAACACCCACTAGAATGCCATCAATAGTAGTTTCCCTCAATTGGCTGTGATCTTGCTGTTCTAAAAAAACACAAATTGTTAGTCCGTGCAGGCCAGTGCGCAACGATGGTAATTGTGACTGCATCGTCATTATAAAAAGGTTGAACGTTTATATAGTAAAACTGTTTTCTGTTGATAAATTCCGTGGTATTGCACTTGTTTGGACGTATGATCCTAATATGGGTGCGATCAACGCCCTCGATCCCACCTGGAGACTAAGCAACATCCTGAGACCTTCATTTGTTGCCCCGCAATTCATCAGGAAATGACAAGAATTGTCCTTTCCGTCTCGAAACTGCCCTCACACCCTGTGAATGATGGTGCATGTAGAAAACACAGACACGCCAAAAGACCCAGTCGCATAAAATTTCAGAGTAGTAAACACTTGCCGCATGATTGTTAGTGCCGAGTGGCAGACCTCTTCTTGTTTAATTTGATGTTTGAGATAGTGCTCTAGACTTTTAACAAGGTCTGCAACTGATTGCTCCCTGACGGTGAAGCGAATTCGAAAATCTTCTAAATTCCTTTGAAGGGTTAATTCTATCGATAAGTCTCCAAATTTTTCTAGATTACAGATGATGACGGTCTATTGACGTGCTCCGTAAACTGTCTGAAACACAGTAATCCGTAAACTTCGAAGTGGCTGGTAATAAAGGTGCCTCTTAAACCGAGTATCTTAACCAACCTCCGTGCAGGTCTAAGTCGCTATTGTTCTTTAAGCGGTGGTTAAACATGGTTTAGACACCGTTATGGACGATCATTGTTTACTGAAATAATCGGTTTCCGCCGGTTAAACATGGGTTGGACGATGACTTTCATAAATACTGTTTAAACTTCGTGTAAATAATCGGCTCTACATGTTGTCTCCCATTCTGGTCCTATGTGTTTTTGAAGTTCAAGTTTGTTCTTTAAATGAGGAGATGGATAATAAGTATTTTGATATAGGGTATAAAAATGGGCGAAGAATTCAGACGTGTATCAAGAGCAGTTCTCACGGGCTTGACTGCAAAAACGACTTACAGAGTTTGGATGACAGCCTCCACGATCAGGAGAGAAGGCGCAAAATCCAATATCATCACTGTTCAAACATGTAAGAAACTACTGAAATCTTCTACCTGCATAGATTTTTACATTTTCGTTCATCTAAGTCTGTAATCCCTTTCCGTCAAGCTTGGACTGGAAACCCAAAAATGTCTGACGGAGCGTCTGACCACGGATTTCGTGTAAACTCATTTACCCAAGCTTACGACGTGTTGTCTTCAGAAAATTTTAAATTAATACTGTAATTAGTTTTCGAATAGATTACGAACAACTCAAGACTAGGTTACCTTCATGTCACAGTAAAGCGTTGTTATGAACGAGGAGTGAGTCGAGTTGGTTTTATTTGTGGAACCTTAGATGAAGACGAATGTGTGTCTACTCCTTGTCAACATAATGGAAAATGTCACGAGGATGGCACGTCCTACATGTGTAAATGTTCAAGGGCCTGGGAAGGAACAAACTGTGAAAGTAAGTGAAAATTACTTAGACTTCATGATCAGTTGCAAATCGTGATTTTCGACACCAAGGCGACCCGGTCTTCAATTCGCAACATCTAGCCCAACTCAAGAGTGAACTTGACTAAAATCTGAGTGTCAGAATAATTTTGCCGTCTTCACCCATATCAAAGATATCATAAACCCAATAGAAGTGGAATCGTTTTAGCCGCTGCTGATAGACCAAAAATATCCCTTTGCCTTAATCCGCGAATTCGTTAATTATTGACAAAGCGGTGGAGCCATGGCATGTAAAGAGTAAGAGAACAGAAAAAAGAGATGTTATGGAGACAGTTCTGGAAACGTTGCTCTAGTCTACCTCTAAACCTACCAAAAGTCTTCCAAGTCCATTACTGTATGACAATTAACACTGGAGGCCTCACTCATTATGTTCTTTACCTCAGAAATTATTGATTCTCTTCTTTAAAGTGACTATTGTTTCGGTATTTTAGAGGCCACTTAGAGAGTGTCTCTTACTTTTCAATGTTGGTTTGTTTTTTGATCACATTACACACACACACACACACACACACACACACACACACACATGTATATATATTTCTTTTCGCAGTTCCTGAAAGTTTTGCCATGCGAAGAAACCTTTGTATTGACACAGGAGGAGAGAGGAGGCCTCATTTTCAAACAAAGGTCTCTTTGGAATTTTGCGCCGCGAATTGTAGAGAGAATTTAAGGTGAGGTTGGTGGGCAAATACACACACCTATTAAAGGAGTCCTCTGAAGGTTGTGCAAAAAAAATTGCTTTTGAGAACACATGTGGTACTGGAAATGAAGCCGCCTTAGTATTTTTATATCGATGAACATACTGTAAGTAGGTTGTTACAGTTAACTTAAAGTAATCTACTGCACGGATATACAAACGAAAATATGGGTTTTTTTTAAAAACGGCGAGTAGCAAATCACGAAACCCAAAGGCAACCTGAAGTTTGATTAAATAATTTTAACCAATAGAGTCCAGATAGTGTCTGGGATTGAGGAAGTTTTCATTTTAAAAATCTTTTACCATTCTTATTACTTGATCAGAAACTCTTCTGTGATTTTATTTCTCACGAGATGTACCTTTCTTCAATCCAAACCAGCTGTAAATCGTTTGAATATGGACTGGGATATGAGGAGAATGGAACATTCGTGAATTCTCTTCATAAACATGGTCTTGGAATATGCAAGATGCAAAGACTGGACGCTACAGAAAGAACCCTGAACGCCTGTTACTATGACTATTATGAGAAGAGAACTGTGTCTGCGGGCTCAATATCTTCTTTGCCATGTAAAGCGCTAATAAGAACTTTAGCATTTGTGTTTCTTCTCTTGAAATAGCAGGGGGGGGGGGGGCAAAATTTATAACCAGCGCCAGCTGTATAATAATTGCAACTGAATGTAATTGAATGCAGTACATCTACCTTCGCGGAAAGATACAATACAATATTTTATTGACAACTCCCCAAAGGGGCTTTTCAGTGACAATGACGATTAGACAATAGCAGTAACAATAAAAAAAAAATGGTAATAGTTAAAAAGAGTAATGCTTTATACATTATAAAATATCAATCACGAAAAATAATTTATAGAGTGTTAGAACTTAATTATAAGAACAAAAACTCGGGCTAAATCAAGTCAAGAATTTTTTTAAAAGGTCTGATTTAAGATTACGTTTAAAACTAGCTACACTAAGACTTGATTTAAGATTATGGCTAATAGATTCCAAATACTTACTAAATACTTAATAAATTCCAAATACTTACAACGCGATAATAAAAGGACCTCTGGCCAGTTGTTGTTTTACAGAGTGGAATGTTCAAGTTCCGTGAACTGCGGGTCACTCGACCAGTAATGCTACCCCTAAGAATAAACTTATTACTTAGGTATTCCGGTACAAGACCCATCATACACTTAAAAGCCATGACGGTGTCTCTTAGGTAAAGGTTTGATTTAACGGGAATCCAATTTAAGCTTTTAAGAGAAGGAGACACATGGTCATATTTCTTAACGCTGCATACGATTCGAGCAGCAAAGTTTTGTATGCCTTGCAGCTTCTTTATATTACTATCCGTGGTATTCACCCAAACTGACGAACAATAATATAATTTACTAAATACTAAGGAATTGATAATAATAATCAGTATATCTCTCCTAAATGCGTGCTTTACGCGACTTATTTGTCCCAATATGGACATACACGAGGATACAGTGTTAATGACATGTTCGTTAAAGGTGAGATTTTTGTCAAAAATCACTCCGAGATCTTTTACAGTCTCTGTGGGTTCAAGATCTTTTCCCACGAGTTTAAGGAGAAATTCCGGGAGTTTTGCAGTCGCCTGTCTACTTCCATATAAAATTAAATTGGTTTTGTCAGGGTTTAAGAGCAGGCCATTATCAAAGCACCAGTTTCGTATGCTGACAAGGTCCTGTTCATAGCAGATATGGTGTCTCCGCAGTCCTGGGGTCGGAATGACGTTTATAACTTGGTGTTATCCACATAACTCTCAGTTAGACAGTTTCTTGGAGTAGATGGTAAATCATTGACATGGATTCCAAAAAGCATTGGCTCCAGAATGCTACCCTGTGGAACTCCGCTAGCCAGCTGGAGTGGATCAGAGATCTTGGCATTGATTCGGACAACTTGGGTTCTGTTCCATTGATAACTACGGAACCAGTCCATGGCAGATGTTGAAGCACCCATATCTTGAAGTTTGTGGAGCAGGATTTTGTGGCTGATGTTATCGAAGGCTTTTCTCATGTCTAACAGAACCATAGCTGTAGTTTTCTATTGATCGATGGCACTGAAGATCATATCTGTTGCGTAGATCAGTGAAGTCTCAGTTGAGTGCCACTTTTTGTTACCGCTTTGTTTTGTTGACAATCGATCGTTTGATACCAAATAGGTCATGAATTGATTCAACGCAGTTCTCTCACATATCTTTGATAAGATGGGCAATAAAGATATAGGTCGATTATTTTCAGGTTTTCCATGATCACCTTGTTTATGAACAGGGATCACTTCTGCAGTCATCCAAACAGATGGAAAAACCCCACTCACTTGTAAGCGAGTTGCTTATGATGGAGGTAAGAGTAGGGAGGATAGCTGGAGTCCAGTCCTTAATTACACGTAGTGGGATTTTATCGATTCCAGGAACTTTTCTCGTTGGCATTCAATTAACGATTTGTTCGATTTCGACACATTCTACAGTCCTGAATGTAAATTGTTGTGATAGGGGATAACACTTAGGGACAAAAGACGGTTGCGTAAGATCATAATTGCATTCATTAGCCAGTGACTGAATTTATGGATCGTATTTTGGCCTATTGAAGTAAAAAATTGGTTAAATTCGTCAGCAACCAATTTGTCCTCTTTGCTGTAAGTCTTACGATTGACAGACTTCTTTGGAATAAAAGAACGTATGGTTTTCCAAACGCAACCCGTGTTATTAGGATTATTCCTGATTAGAGTTTCAGCGTATTCATGTTCGGCTAGTCGTAATTCACGTTTAACTTCCCTTTTAAAGTTTTTATAGCCACCCCATGCTAAAGGGTCGTTAGTTTTCCTTGCCAGCTTCCGCCACTGGTCTCTTGTCTTCATTAATGCTCGAATTTCCTCGGTAACACAGGGGTTTGACCGACCCCGTATCTTGACCTCTTTAGTGGGCGCATACGAATCAAGTAAATCGTCAAATATCCGATGGAATGCATAAAGTTTATCATCAACCTCATCAAAGATATCGATAACTGACCGAGGGCCAGCATTAATATCCTTTCGGAAGGCCGCTTGATCATAATCTTTAAAGCTTCTTGTTGTGATATATACGGGTTTAGGTCGGTCTTTCTTTAGATTGAGTACGAGGTAAACCAAATCATGGTTAGAGCAAGGCAATACTCTTGCTTCCTTCACTAAATCTGTATTTGAAGCTAGGATGACATCTATTAGCGTAGTGGAGGTCTCCGTTATTCTTGTTGGTCGATTAATCATTTCTGCAGAGCAGAAAATAAGCAACGCCTGAGAGGCAGCGTCGTTGTGATTTAACACATTGCAATTTAAATCGCGAAGCATGTTAATGTCCTTGTTAAGGCTGAGATGGTTGTTCTGCTTAAATCTTCATCAAAGCAGTTCAAGTTGGAGGTCTGTAAACAATGCAGATAATAAAGGATTTGCAGTTTCGTACTTGAACTTTGAGCCAAAGTTGATGTAAACCAAAGGGTGAAATCGAAGATCTTTTTAGAGATAATATGGAGTTCTTTATAGTACATACTGACTATTTGCGAAGTACCATTATATCACGGTGTTACTGCATCTAAGTAAGTGCGGTAAAACTCTTAATTCCAATGTTAATATACAATCTGCGCCAAGACTCTGTTCGGGATAAATTAGTTTTTATGAAATAAATAACAACTCACAGCAGTTAATAGTTGTCAGTGGAGTTACAAGTGTAACATATTAGCGAGCTCTCGACCACACAGTTCCGAAAAGTGCCAGTTCCCGCGTCAACTTAGTAAATGGCAAATGAGGTTTGAAATGAGCCCTCCTTTTCAAGCCTCATTAGAGAAATTAACAACACTTTCTGAATGTCCTCCATCGCTCAGTCCGGTGCTCTTTCTCGGCTAGAAAGGATAACATGCTTTCAGGCTATCTAGTAACCATACCATAATTGGAAAAGGAAGCATGGGTGAGTACAAATTTTTTCATCGGCGTTCTAAGAACTAAGTCCCAATAGCGTTTTACCCCAATAACTAAGTCCCCAATAGCGTTTTTTCTTAAGACGATCTCTTGCAATGAACTGCATCGGACATAACTGAAATTTCCAGTCACTGAAACTTCTATCTTGATGGGTAACCTATGCGACGGAAAAAATTAATCATCAGCTGTTAGGACAATACTTCTCACACCTAGGATGATCTAAACACCAAAAGAAAATACAACGGGGCAATCATTGCGTTCCTTTAAGGAATTTTCTTTCATTCTTATTTTTTCTAGCAAGGCAAGCAGTCTTAACGAAGGGGTATAAATTTCTAAAGAACTGTGGTGCTGCGTCAGTGGGGAGTATAATAAGATAACTTGGTTTTACCAACTGCGTTGTTACTGTGAAATGGCCACCGACCGTAAAGAGTTTCTATAACTGACGTTTCGAACGTTGGCCCTTAGTCAAAGCGAATAGTTCAGGTTTGGAGTCGTTGTATCAATTGAATATTGGTGTCCAACCCGGAGCGACCAAAATAGGACCCAGTTACGCCAATCTTTTCGCAGATTATATTGAACACCAGTTTTTGAATCAAACAACGGTGTTTTTAATCCGCCTAATGAGTAAGGGGAAACGTAATAAGAATTAAATGTTGACATACTACAAAATTAAATCATGATAGACATATTACAAATGGTTGGCTTTGAATTCTACTGTACTCGTGATTGTAGGAATACTGTGGTAGATTGTGGTTTACGCTAGATTTGCTTTGAACGTCTGAACTGTCACAAGAGAATTGATAGACCCGTCTTAACTGACACGTAGGAATTGTTAGAACATCGGCGGCGTTCGTCGAGAATAAATCTTGGAAAGAAAGATAGTGTACGGTCCTCTTCGATTCGTGTCGAGTTAGCCAGCGACTGCGGAGTCCGTGTAAACGGATTCCGCGACAAAAACAACACTTTCCTCAATGTCGATTGAAAAAAAATTCAAAAGAATTCAAGCCCTCGTTAAAACAATTCTTTACTTTATTTGCCTGAATTACTTTCGCTACCATATTATTGTGTTAAATGACTCAGTCGTTAAGTGTTTTACTAAGTCTACCAAATACAGTTAGAAAAAGAAAAACGGACTTTGGAAAGTCTATAAAATGAAGATTGGATGTTTGAACGACATCATGTGGTCATGAGGCTGAGATCCGCTTTAATCCCAATGCAACTAAAATTACATTTGCTCATTCCGAATGCATTTTAAGCTTGTCAATCAACTGATGTAAAATACAATATTTTACGACTAAAAGTTTTCTTCTACGTCACAATTAACATTCTTTAGACAATATTACTAATTTTAAAGTTAAAAAATTCTGTAGTAAAATTATCCAAGGGTGCTTCTTTAATAAAGCTAGTTGTTTTCAAAGTACCTTTCCTGATCATATCAATACACTGTGCTCAAGGATTTTATCGGTGAAAGTTCTGGAAACCCAGATTTTCTCTCTTTCCTAAGCAATTGTGAAAGTTACACCTTTCATTAATCAGTTATCACTAATCATTAATCACTTATCATTAATCCTTTAACTATATTGATACTAAAAGAGACTTGAGACTCAAACGATCGTACTCTTAAAATGAGCTTTACACTAAAAGCTAGCAACCATAATGGCCGCATTTCCTCCTTGTCATATATTTCCATCTATTCCAACAAATTATTTACGTTCGTGTTTATAATAACTCATAACTCCTTCCTGTACTGTCCAACCAGACGAAGGCGGGGATAAATCTGTTGATCAGTTCCCCTTGGAATGGCCGTCTGACTGAGGCTGAAATAGGGCAAAGACAAAAAGTGAATGATACTATATTAAACCAACAAGAATTCTTCGCTAATAAAACGAAATCAATATTTGCACTCGATTGCAATCTTTTCAAACTTGCCCCTTCTAAAATCTTCCTGTAGGTTTTACAGCATTTTTACAGCTAAACAGATTCATCAAAAATTAAAACCTCATTCAATATGGAGCGTCACTAGTGACAAAATTAACTTTTCCTATTATGATGTCATGATTTTTCATTCTTATGTTGTTTTGGTATTTTGATGCTCAAATGTTTTGGCGTTATGATGATGTTTTGGCGTTATGGTGACGTTTTGGTGTTATGGTGACGTTTTGGCGTTATGGTGACGTTTTGGCGTTATGGTGACGTTTTGGCGTTATGGTGACGTTTTGGCGTTATGGTGATGTTTTGGCGTTATGGTGATGTTTTGGCGTTATGGTGATGTTTTGGCGTTATGGTGATGTTTTCGCGCTATGATGATAGTCGTACACAGACTCAATGGCATCATGGGATCTTTTTCTTGCACATGAGCTCGCAATCCGACAATGGCGGACGGGAAGAAGAAATTCGACGAGTCGATTAAAAATTGCCTTCAAAGCCTTACAAGTGCGGCAGAAGAGTTCTAAAAGAGTCTAAAAGAGTCTAAAAGAGTCTAAAAGAGCCTAAAAGAGTTCACTGCACCAAGTTCTACTAGCAATAGTAGTAATTCTAGCCCTAGCAAGTTGACACCTATCGAGGAACACAGAAAATTGTTTGGCTTCAAATAATTGGTGATTAGGGACACAATAGTTGACATGTGAAATAGTTGTGAGAACCGTGGCATACTTTATGCAGTCTCTCACCTTGGAAAACTATTTGTATATTGGATTGCAAACACGATTTCTCAATTTGTGTCAGTTTTTCAATCACCACATGGCTTTGAGTTTTAACGACCTTATTTCTACCCACAATCCTATGTGGGTGAGTTACGGGTCGCAGAGCTTGCTTGAAGACAAACTTTTGTCAATCGACTACATTGGATTTTTTCATGTGTCATGTGACTTTTTTACTGTCCAGGCTTTGTATTATCTCCCGGGCTAGCCTGCGCGCGTCTAATTTTTTTTATGAAATAGGAAAAAGACTACACTATAAGATTGGGCTGCCTGTGGGCTATCTGCATATTATCTGTGTGGAAAATAATAACCGGAAAAACAGTGCCTTTCAGTAATTACCCTATTAGTTTGTGGTAGCCATCGATATGCCACAAGGCCAAGGGTTCGGTAACATTGTATGTTCGTCGTGTTGTATGTTGTATGTTCGTATGTTATTGCAACATCGTTTGGGTCAACACGACGCATGGCATCCCGTACTCTGTGCTGTGTAACTTTTATTTTTCTTCGTCCCAATTCTCCTGCTATATACAATATTAGGAAATTCACCGATAATCACTGTAATAACTACATCAAGCTCTGAATTATTGATAGAAGAGTACGATGCTCTGAAAACGACGTTGCAACGTTCGAAGTCATTATCAATGGCGCTGAAGTCATTATCAATTAAGTATTCCAATTGCTCCTTGGTTACGGAAAGCCGTGGTCTGCCCACATTTCCAGATTTATATGCAGGACATCGGTATGATAGATCAAGAACTGCGTTGCAATCATTTAAACACCGGATTGCACCTCTTATATATAGTAAAATTCCGTCATCTTGAGTGGCCTCTTTTGAAGATTCATCACAAACAGGTTTTTCCATATTTGTTCCAGTCTGTAAATGTAAAAGTCTAATTCACCGTGACTAAGTGAATCTAGAGAGCAAATGTCACTGGACATCTTAGACAATTCACTACAAATTTCATCCAAGTCAGTCATTTTCTTTTTTGTGATTGCTCATAATTCCTTTCACGCTAAGTAGTGCGATCGCAAGTGCTCATGGTACCATAACATCATAATACATGGTACCATAACATCATAATACATCATAACGCCAAAGCATCATTATAACGCGAAAACATCATCATAACGCTACAACATTTGAGCATCAAAATACCCAAACAACATAAGAATGAAAAATCATGACATCATAATAGGAAAAGTTAATTTTGTCACTAGTGACGCTCCATACATTCAATACCTGAATCTTTGCTTGGAGGGGGGGCAAAAATGGACGCTGTACGTTCGACAGAATAGGGGTATAATATGGGTAAAAATGCTATTTTATGGCATAATCGATAACTTAATGAACTAAAACTTGCTTAAACATACTTCTACATTGATTTTGAGAGATAAACATGGGTCAATTTTAACTGGAAAGATTCTTCTTAGTTCCATTTCCATTCCTCTTTATGTGACTGGGTCTCAGTAAAGGGTGACCAGAACCGCAAAACAGAGGGGAAAACTACAATAATAATGGGGAGAACATTTTGGGACTTTGTGAAGACTGACCGCTTAATACAAGGTGACTGCTGCAAACAGTGCAGGTTTGACTTTACTTACTAAATTCCCTCCAGTGAAGTATGCGAATGTGCACTTGCCATAAGCAGCTGGAATGTTTCTTGCTTGAAGGCAACATAATATCTGAGGTGTTTGTCATCAGTAAATGTAATTGAATGTCTCCATTTTTCCAAGTCTTTGTGACCTGAAAATCCATGAATGAAATAAAGTAAATTATATTAACCCCATGAAGTATTAATGACTACTAATAAACAGATATTACAACACAGCTGACAAGGAATGTTTGATTTTGCAAGGCCTGAGGTTCTAGGTAGCCTGGTTTACTGGTAGCCCTTAAACTTGATAATGACTACCGTGCAACTTAATTCTTTTTTTCAGCGAAAAGTTTATGAGAATGTACTAATCAGTTAGAAAAATGTAACCTTGATACATGCAAATCATCTGAGCACACTGATAAGGAAATTCACTCAATAATGAATCGGGAATCTCATCTTGAAGCTTAAGAGATATACTCAGTGTAATAGACCTTACATTCAATTAGAAATCAATATTGCTACATAGTAGATCAATAATGGTATCAGGTGAATTTTTTAGGCTTGGATTCAAATGTAGAAAATATTTAATATGCAGTAATCTCTAACACCTCAGGCCACTCTAGTAATCACTAGTTCTGTTTTATGAACCATGCACGTTCATCAAAATGAGATGCAGTGAATCATGTGCATGCCATCTGCACAAATTGTAATAGTTTAACAAATTTGAATGGTCTTATACCATTTTCTTTTGTGACAAAAGCATTTAATATCTTGTTTCAGTAGTAAATAATTTGAACCATCTCACATTAACACAGTCTCAAACAGAATGAACACCAGACAGCAAGAACAACTGATGTATCTTGTACAACTAACCAAATTTTAAATTCACTAATTCTCCTTACCATTTGTCATAAAATTCCTATGACCTTAGTTCCAAATTTTGGTAGTTGATCATTGATAATTTTGGTAGTTGATCATTGATAATCTAATTGAAACTTTTCTTTATTCTCATCACTTGTCTGCCTGATATTGTAAAGATATTTTAAGGAGAAATTCAGTCTTGGTGATGGGTGTTAAAGAGTAAAGATGCCACTTGGAAGTTTGTTACCTGGAAATAATTTAGTTGCAGGACTGAACTCCAAGGGCCTGGCAGTTTCTGTAGGTTGATCCATAGGAAGCTGTGCCACAGGACTCCAAATGTACAGATTCCTCAGTTTTGGCAATTCGCATAACTTTGTGCCAAGTTCAGAAATTCCTTCTTCACTGAGCATGTTGCCCTTAAAATCAAGGCACTGCAATGATGAGAAAGATTTAAATGAAGTACAGAGTGCATTTAAACCTGCTTCAGTGATGTTGTTGTATCCCAGACATAGTTCATTCATTTGGCAAATGTAGGGAGCAACAGCTGCCAATGCTGCAACACCCTTGTCCGAAATGCAATTAGATTTCAATGATAGTTTGCATAGATAAGGTGTACAATTGAAGCTTTCACAAAGAGTTATTAGTCCATTACATGTGATCTGATTTTTGTCTAGAAGCAGTTCTGAAAGGCAAGGTAGCCAGGGAAGAGCACTTGCCAGACTTTCAGCACCTTCATCATGAAAAGCATTTCCAGATAAGTCCAAAGAGACAAGCCTTGGGGCTTTTCTAACACAATCTCCAACAAACTTTCCCTGATGTAACAAGTTTGCAGAAAGATCCAACCTTTTCAATTTAGGGCAGTATGTGAAGGCTTCACCAAGGGCTGTAAAGATGATTCTGGAAGTCTCACTAGCAACATCTGTTTTCCGATTTACATCATGAAGGGAAAGATTTTCCAAATGAGGGACCTTAGAAAGTCCCTCTGCAAGTGCCCTTACACCCTCAGCTCCAAGGTCAATGTTGTTTTCAAGGCTTAAACTGGTCAGGGCAGCAGTACAAGATAACTTCTTTAACAAGTATGCCATACTGATCTGGGTTAACTTACAGCCACTCAGATCCAGAGATTTCAAACTAGGGACAAACTTCAGGGCATCAATGACATCTTTCATGTCTTCATCTCCAAATCCGCTGTAGCTCAGATCAAGATGGCAGAGCTTTGGACAGGACTTCATAATTAATGCAAAGTCATTGCCAATATCTCGCCTAGATGCATTTCCACTAAACACGAACCTCTCCAAAGGAAGGTTGAAGGACAAATTCCTGCTGAAGGCTTCTACCACACCATCCCCCACTATGTTCTGATTGAAGCACAATTCCCTGAGAGAAGGCATTTGTGAAAGAGAATTTGCAAAAAAGGCAGCAGTCTGCTTTTCTAGCTGACTGTGTTCTAGAACAAATGATTTGAGGTCAGGATTGTTTTGCATAAAATATGTCATAGCTCTCACACCATAAGGACTGATATCATGACCAGAGAACTTCAAGATTCCATCAAGAAGAGTTGCCCCCAATTTACTGGCAAGGTGGCCTTGGTGGGACTCAAAAAGAGCAAGAACAAACATTACAAGGAAGTCATTTGCTTCACCAGAGTCAAAAGTGTTGATGGCCTCTTTGAGATTTTCAAGCAATGGTACAAACACAGATTCAAAGTTGTCTCCAACAAGCCCAGCCACAAAATTTAGCAGCATAGAGTCAGAAGCTTTTGAAACACATTTCAAGGTTAGAGAAAGGACATTTTTCAATTTTGATGAATCATTTGCAGCACAATTAATTTCATGACTCAGCCACAATGCTGCCACATACTCCTGAAAAGACTTGTGAACAAAGCAACACTTCCGTACTGGCTTCAATCTGGAAGTGCTTGTCTCCTGTGACAACAAACCAAATTCAAAGACAGTTTTGCTAGATAACTTCTTCTCTAATGCTTGCACATCAAACAGGAGGTTGTCTTCAAGTAAACCATTGAAGGCAATCTCTCCAACAATGAGCAAGTCATTATAAAGATCCTTGGGGATATCTTCTAAGACAGTGAACACCTCATCTGTAGCCTCACCATCTGCAGCATTCTTAGCTAAGTTTCGCTTTACCATAAGTAAAATCAGCTCTGTGAAAAGAGTTGTAACTGTAGACAGAGCTTCAAAGGCAGTGTCTGGGGCATCCTCCCACAAAGCACAAATCAACATGGCTGTCAAGGGAACCTTTGCAATGTCCTCAATGACTGGGTGTGTTTCCAGTTCAGACAACAACAACTCAGCAGTACTTGGATCATCTTGAAAATATTTTAGCACATAGCTTCTGATGTTTTCAGTGGTGAATCCTGTAATAACCAGTCATGTGTCCATCATTCGTTGGATGTGTGTGGTTTTACCTGGCCTTGATGTGAGAACAACACAGGAATTTCGAAAAATTCTTCCACTCAGAATGTCTCGGAGGTGAGTCAGACATGACAAGTTTGCTTCATCAAAACCATCAAGAAGAAAAAGGACATTTTCCTGGTGTGAGGCAAGGTAACTAAGCAGCTGAGCCAGTGGAATGGGAAAGTCAGCAGGAAACAACTGCTGGATGATAGCATCCTTGAAACTTCCCTTTATTTGCTTCAACTCTATGAGAATTACAACTGTAAATGGCAGTAACTTGCCATTACCCCTTGACCAATCATGAGCAATCTTACACAGAAATGTGCTCTTTCCTACACCTGCTTCGCCTTCCACCAGTATTCGTCTTGGTTTAGAACATCCAGGACGACTATGAAACATCATGGGGTAAGAATTTAAGGGCTTTTGAATACAATTTCTACCCTGTGACACCAATGATATGATTTCCAAATTGGTGTAAATGTGTTCTATGTGAATCCAGAATGAGTCATTCCAAGAGATTGGCTGAATCCAACCAATGTTTTTCTGATAATGATCCCACAAGGATTCTTGCATGTGCTTTAAAACTGCATCACCTGATCTGTTCCTTGCTATAAAAATTAAAAATGACAGAACATAATTGGTCTAGTGAATGTAATTGAGACATCATAGTTATCAATTCAGGAGTTATTCAGGGCTGAGAGACAATAAATAAGAAGATAATGTTTGAAACACAGGGCAACAGAGCAAATGAAGGGTGAAAGAGCAAAAGCTATTGTTGTCCGCCATAGTTTTGCAGGTTTTTGAAGCAGTTGAGGTCAATTTGATGAGTTCAATTTCAAGCTGCCCTTGTCAGCCACTTAATGTACATGATATATAAATAGGCTTTGTGTAAACTAGAAGGTCGAAATAAAGACCCTGTATAACTCAATTTGAATTTTATGCATGCAAATATTATTTACAAATAAGAAATGTTTGGATATTTGGATAAGTTTGTACAGGAATTTATTCATTTTTTTACTCGCACTATTTCGAGAGGTTACAGTAGAGATTGCTATAGATTACAAAAGTCAGAATATATAAGAACAGTCTGGAAAACCAATCATGATATACCTCGTAAAACTTTATTCTTGTCCGAATACTCAACATGTTTCTTCATTTATCCAAACTTAGAACAGGTCAGCCAAGTGAAAAGAAAGTCACGACTTTTGGTCTCTTCAGTGTACATAAAAAGATTAAATGAAGAATTATAATTATACTTAACGTGGTAAGCAAATTGTGACACGACAATCCGACCAAATGAAGGTACAGTGTACCGACACGAACTTTTTAAGTATGGTTACTTTGTAACTTCCTAGTACGTAGTAATTTGTGGCAGCTGTACTTCCTGCAAATTTGATGACTATGCAACCAACAGACTACGATTACAATGGTGAAAACTAACTTACTAACCTTTAACACCAAGTAATTCATCTTTGAGGTCCAAGCGATTAATCTCAGATAACAGTTCAGCCAAAAACATAGTATTTCTTTCACTCAGTAGGTTCCTGTTTTCTAGCTCATCGAACAATTCAAGCGGGCGAGCAATCTTCTCCAAAACACCGGCAGGAATATGCTGTTTGCTAACAAACTTTAACTGGCCCAGTTCTTCACTGGTTATTCCAATTGAGACTGAAAGAAGCCTTGCTCGAAACTGATCCATTACTGTTCTGCCACAAGTAGATTAGATTTAGAAGCCCAGTGTTTAATGTACCCGTAGAAGTTCACTGTACGACGTAAAGTTACATTGTCTTTCTTTCTGTCATCTTCGAAAGGATTTTACCTTGCATCAACATTTCCTATTGACAATTCTGTCTAGATGCATGGCTCTCCATTTCGAAATGCATTTACATGATTACTCTAGAAATAAAGTGGTGTCAATCCAATTAGGAATCGTACTACGGATCTTGAGTATTGAAACCGCCCGATCATTTCTGACACGACGCCAATCTGGTGGAAGTCCGCTGGCCTTCTTGCGGTCTCTCATCACGTGATCATCAACGAGTAGTTTCCCCGGGAAGCGCATGAGTTTGCAGCTTAGCCTGGTGAGAATCATGTTGAGACGATTCCACTCTCTCGACCAATAAGAAGGAAGATCAAAACAAATCATAATTAAAGCACTCGAGACGTAGCTGTTACACCACGTAAAATTTAATAAATTTTCAGCCAATCAGTGTTCGGTTCGAACGAATGACATGCACGCGCGTTGTGACGTCATAAAGAAGTTGTAGGATTTGTAAAGAAACTGCTAAGAGTTATTTTGACCGTCAGGTTCATTTGGGTCGTATCTATTTGTTATAGAGAATTCTTAAACAAATTCTTTGAGAATTCTTAAACTTTAAAGTGGGATGCGCATTTAGCCGTAATAGTCGCCGGGTTCCAAGAGTGTTCAGAAGAAAAAAGATGAGTAACTTATAGTCCTGGTTCGGTTTTCTTGTTAGCGGGACAGTTTCTGTGACAAACATCCTTCACTTCTAATGTTTCTTATTCATTATCCAGGCAGCCAAGAACAAAACATATGTGGTGCCGTCTTTGCTCGATGTTTATAAGAAAAGAAAAAAAGCACTATACCACTAGCAGTAGCTTTGCTACGCCCAGGGTGTGGTCAGATACGATATCGAAGAAGAGAAATCTGATGTATAGAAGGAAAGTAAAAGAGAAAATGCTACGATTCTTATGGAAGAACTTCCATCCTGTCTTCATTACGAAGGTATATCAAAAACATTTTAAAAGGACCCTTTCAAGTAGCGGACACCCTACACTAAAAAGCATGAAAAGAAAAAGCAAGAGTTCTTGAGGAGTCCACCGAGTAAAAAAATTTTGCACTGTTTTTTTGTGTGTGTTTGAGCGGCGATGTATCAAACTTAGACACGGAAAATATTTTCAGTGTCTTTTGCTTTTTTACAGGCTTTCATGAGAAAGGTTCACTGGTTCACATTGTACAGCTCAGTACTGAATGAGAATATTGGTGACATGAGCCTCAAGTAAGTGTTGGCGTCACTCAAAGGTACTATGATCATTGTCAAAATGAACATTGTGATGGGAAAGTAAGAAACTGTTGGGGAGGGGGGAGGGGGGATGCCTGTGATGGGAAAATGTTCAAAGTTATATCGCATCTATATTCCACTATATCAAAAGATGACCTTGGGTTCGAGAATAATATATCAGTCACCTAGCCGTGGAAGGAAGCGGTATTTTAAATTGGATAAAAGTTCTGATTCAATACATGGGGTTATTTCCAAATAAGTTGTTGGCGATTTCCTAGAAATCACAGTATCTAGCTCAAAGTGTTTTTCTCTAAACGATTTCCAGTTAGACCATGGTGTCACTAAATGTTTGTTTCTCTACCTGTTGTCAATACATTGGCATCGCTGATGCTATTGCCACAGTGCTTAAATACGGTGGCCCAGAAGGCTCAACACAAACAAAAACTTTTTTTGATACCGCAGCAAATAAAAAATATAGTGCAGCAAATAAAAAATAAACTGCAGGGACTAAAAATATACTGCAGCAAATAAAAAATCAAAACGCAAAGAAAAAAAGTACCGCAGCAAATAAAAAATGCAACGCAAACAAAAAATACTGCAGCAAATAAAATATGCAACGCAAACAAACAAACAAAAAAGAAAACGCAAACAAAAAAATTGGAACGCAACGCCAAGGAAGACTGGGTAATAGTTCTTAGTTTCCCGCCAACACTCGTTCCATCCTTTGCTTGTTCGCCTTTCCGAAACCATGTTTTGCAGCGAACTTATGACAGTACCATGCTGCTCCTTTAAAAAATCGATAATAACTCTATTTTCATACCCTTGATGAAAGTAATCTTCTATAATCCTACGCAGATCGCTTTCGTCCATAACCAAAAGCGAGTTCCAGTTCATGCTGTTTTGGCGGGAAACTAAGAACTATTACCCAGTCTTCCTTGGCGTTGCGTTCCAATTTTTTTTGTTTGCGTTTTCTTTTTTTTTTTTTTTTGCTTGCGTTGCATATTTTATTTGCTACAGTACTTTTTGTTTGCGTTGCATTTTTTATTTGCCTCGACACTTTTTTTCTTTGCGTTTTGATTTTTTTTTTATTTGCTGCAGTATATTTTTATTTGCTGCAGTATATTTTTTGTTTGCGTTGAGCCTTCTGGGCCGCCGTACTTAAAGGTTCAAGGGAGCCTATTATAATTTTGTACAAGAATTCAGACAACAGCACAACATACCGGTCTAAACGAAGCGGAGAAATCCTTGACAGGATTACAATCGGTGAGTTCTGAAAACAGTTCTTTTTCTTGTGACAATTATGTTTACCAAATTTCGTAAGAATCGAGTTTTTTTTTTAGACTAATCGTGCACCTTGGGGTGCCTTTCGGTAAAACGTTTGTTGAGAACTGCTGGTTCCTGTCATTGGTGATAAGAGGCGACGTTTCCGGTATAGATCTACGAAAATAAAAATACCAAATGATAATATAATAATCGCTGTTCCTTCACCTTACCAAACATTCCATCAATCTCTCAGTTTCCAGGGATAGAATTACTCTAAATGCCATTTGTTTTTTAATAGCTTTGAAAATCAACTGAAGTTCTCCGTATTGATCTTTGTAAGCCTTTGTGGTTAGCCAAGATGCAAGTAAAAGAGGAGAGTGAGAAATTCTTTAGGAAAGCAAAACTCAGTATCCACTTTTTGTAATATCACAGCCCGTGGTGCCAGATGTGAATCGCTAAGTTTAAAACAAAGAACTATTTGCATCACAAGTAAACTCTTTTGTAATAGAATATGAGGCAGAGAGTTTTTTTGTTGAATTTTTGTCAGTGTGCAAGTCACAAAGAAATTAAAGTTTATCAGTGATGCCTCAGAGTTTGCCAAATTAACAGATAATTTACACACAACGAAGTTAATAAGTTTTAAATATTAAGACATATTGCATGGCGAATTGGCACCTGTGACTTTCCAGGAGCGAAGCCACGTGTAGGTTAGGGCTTGCCCCCAGGAGCTCAAAGTACCACAGGCAGCCCAAGCTCTTTTTGAGAACCACATAAGGACCATAATTTGCATATTTATAAGGATTTATATGGGATTTTCTACAAGATTTCCATAAAGATATTTAAAAGTGAAAATATTAAATAAAAATGGCTTACCTTATTCCATACCTGTGTTGTTTGCTCCTGGAGTCGTTATTTTACCGATTTCACTTGATTTAAGCGGTTTTTTTAAATCCTGGTTTTCTATAGTCTCCTTCACAGCCGCTAGCCGCTCGGGCCGGAGTCACGCAACGCTCCCTGTGGGGACGGGGGGTGTTGCGTGACTCCGCCCCGAGCGGCTGCGAAGGAGACTAGGTTTTCTACTCTTTATGTGGTAGAAAACCAGGATTAAAAAAACCGCTTAAATCAAGTGAAATCGGTAAAATAACGACACCAGGAGCAAACAACACACGTATGGAACAAGCTAAGCCATTTTTATTTAATATTTTCACTTTTAACTATCTCTGTGGATATCTTGTAGAAAATCCCATACAAATCCTTATAAATATGCAAATTATGTTCCTTGTGTGGTTCTCAAAGAGAGCTGGGGCCGCCTGTGGAAGTACCCGAACGCACGTAATCAGTTCAAAATAACCAGATCACAGAAAATCAATCATAAACGTTTATTTGAAGGGAGTGATGAATCACCAATACGAGGATTAGATTACAAATGCGATGTAGCTGAGATGGCAGGGTCGCAGCAACGGTTGTGGTGATTATGTGTGGCTCGAATTCGATCTTGCTCCTACTAGGGTAGTAATTAACGGAACGATCACTCAGAGAAACGATAGCTACAACAGCGATAGTAGAAAAGGCGAGAACGCCGATGGCGCAACTTGACTGGATGTGGCCCAGTTTCACGCTTGGTCCATAAATCCGAGCGGAAAAAAGGCTCGATCTGAAACCTACGGTTCGGACGAAGAAAATGAGGTCAGTACGTTTTGAAATTTGTCATTGACTGAGCCAATCGTAGCTTCATTTCTCTTGACAGCGGGTTTCTCTGGTGAAACAAGTAAAACAGTATGATCATATTGAGAATCAAACCAAACCTCTAGTAAAAAGCTTGATCAATGATTTATTCACTTATTTAACATACAAACTTGAATATGATATAATATCGATTCCTTGAAAGCTTTTGAGTCCCTATTCAGGTTAAGATGTAAACAATTTATTTCTCATTTAAAGTATCAAGTGTAACTATTAGTTTTAATTATGCTCACAAAGTCAAAGAAATTTTCATAGTTAATCGTGCTCGAGGACTGATTAATGTTTTACAGGGAAAAGTTTCTATATTATCATTTTTCCATAAGTTAGCTTGATTAAAATGTAAGCTCACTCTCAAACTATGGGTATCCGGTGCGCCTGTGACTGATAGACACTTGGTGCAATCCTTCTTACATGCATCAATACAGAAGAACATATGAGAATAGATGGTCATTTGCATTCATTAACATACATTAAGGATTACACCAAGTACTTACCATGTGACTCGATCCACATATGGAAAGATTGCGGGTGCACTGAGGCACTAACGGCTGAAGTCTGAGCCTGTTATGCGAGTGATTGAGTAAGAAAGGTCGGGAAAGAGAAAGATTCGACAGGTTGGTTGGTTATGAGCCAGTTTTAAGCCTATTAACCAAGCCAGTTTTTCTTCCTTTCATATGTAAATAGTATTTTTGAGCCTGACAATTAAAAAAAATTGCTGGAAATTGCATTCTTATTTGAGTTTTGACACTCAAAGTCTTGGAAATCTATTTTCAATAAAAAAAAATATGATAAACGAGTTGATAATTTCTTATTTCTTTAGCGGTCTTACTTTGCAAGTAGAGTAATTTTTATCTTTTCTACTTACTGTGATTATGAATTTGACATGAAGACAGATGATCGGTTTCTATGGTAAATAGGATCTGTGGTAAAGTGTTTTATTTATCTAGCGACAAGCTAAACTTTCTTGATTTCGATCTATTTCGTGTCACTTTAGAAGTCTGAATTCCAATTCTAATATGAGACATCGAGGTGCGAGATTTCTTATCTATATAGATACTGGCACACATACCCCCCTCCCCCCACGAGAGGTAACCCTCAGATGTTATTTCATGTTTTATTCTCATTGTTGATTATTTATTTTAAAGAAGTAATAAATGAAATCCCCCACGAAGAGAAGCATCGCCAAAAGTCCGCAGATCTAAAGCGAAAATAAACCTGTTAGTCTTAGTGTTTTCTTGTTTTAACGAGTGATCAGGTATATTTAGCGCTGCTAAATTGAGGTTCAGGTTAATGTATTCACACCAGACTTAAGCAAAAATGGTCTGAGGACCACAGGTGGGTGGGGTGAGGGAGGCAGGGCGAGGAGGGCGAAGTTAGGAAGGTGGGGCGAAGAAGGCGGGATGAGGAGGACGCGTTAGAGGGTGGGGAAAAAGGGTCGCCCTGGTATTTTCAGGCAAAGCTATCTTTGGCTTATCGCTAAAATACACGATGGTGATATTAAGTCATAAATAGTTCTGTTTTCCCTCTCGTTCACTTTGGTTTATCTATTTTGAGACCACCATATTTGAAGGATATTGTGTAAGTCAAATTTAGCTGCACAAAAAACAAAACAAAACAAAACAAAAAAGAACTAAATGAGATAAAACAAATACTTGGGAAGCAAACACAAATAAAGTGTACGCAAAGCACTCACCGCTGACACCTGCAAGTGCCCACATGTTTGCTTCCCAATATACCCCTGTGCCTGACACAGGTTGATTTTCCCAAGCGGGGTGGGGTAATCAGAAAGGTGAGTAACTTCGTTCAACAGAAGAGAGCTTGAAACAAGCAGTATAACGGCACTAAAGATGCTGATACCCATATTCTGAAAAGAAGGGAAGACTTTTTAAGTACCAATGCGATTTTTGCTCTCGATTATCGAATGCCTTCAACGAGCAACATCTGAATTGTTTCGGTGGAAAAATACTCACAAGAATGGCACGAAATCTTACAAACACAAAATTTTCATGGTTTTCATGGTCTCAAACCATGCAACTGGTGATAAATACGATTTTTTGTATTTTCAACGGGTAGCTGAAGGAACAAAACCTGCAAGCAAGGATCGTAAAATACACAGCGCAGGGCCATGCAAATCAGCCTAGAAATAGATTCCTGTTAAGTATTATATGGGAAATCTGAGAGGCTCTCCATGTCACACCCAGGGTACTCAGCTGGCCGTCTCCGTGTAGATATTCACGCTGAGTTTTGCTTGTACGCTGTATACACCATTCAGTGTCATGCTTTTTCCCTCCTGAATTGTGTGAATTATTTGGTTGGTAGGTTCGTGTATTATTTAGTAAAACAAAACAAACAAACAAAAACAACGTGTCACCAAAGGGAGGGGTGGGGTCCAGTGCTTCCCTGGACCCCTCTACCTACTCCCTAAGAAATGAATTCTAGACTCTGTTAAGGATTAGTGCAGTTAAAAAACCTTCAAGCTTACCGAATAAACTCAGATTGGTTAGCATGTACCTACCAGAATATTCCATTTTTTCCCGATTCTATCGCTGAGCGACAACAAAGAAAATACAAAGGCCAGAGTGACGAGCAGCCAAAGAATGATGGTGGAAGTCGTGAAGAACGAAAGTCTGTCCATATGATCAGGCCGCGGAAACCCCATATCAGCTCTTGATTTAAAGTAGTTATTGTAAAGAGATATGATTACAAACGCTGACAGCAGCAGGATCTGTATAAAGAGTCATGCGTGCAAGTTAGTGTGCTCAAATACTTTCCGAATACAATAGCAAAATAGTTCCTTACTCTAAATTGATTTCATTGCTAACAGAGCAATGGCTTCTCCGAGATGCCTGCTTAGGGGGGTGCAAGAACGCAACAACCGGAGCAGAGTTCCATTTGATTTGATCTTTTCTTCCATGCTGGAAACATATGAAAGGGAAGAGATTTCAAATCTGAGGAACTATGATTGAAATAAGCCAATCACTGAAACTCAAAACCACACATCTTGAAGGTTTAGAGAGCATTTTAAGTTTTTTTGCCATTAAAACCTGATGTAAAAACTCCAGGGTCACTCATGAAGGACGGTTAAAATTACCGAAGATGATTTAGAGATGCGGGTATTTTACTGTAGGAAATTAAAGGGGTATCAGTGAGGGAATACACCTGAGAGCTTTGCCTTTTTCTATTAATGCGTAAGGGCTTGGATCTCATGGAGGGAATATTGCCCACAAAATGTGTTTCATAATTGCCCCTACTATTCCCAGTCGGTCGCATCTTTTCCAATTTATCCAAGGAGTAATATACAAATGTGTGTTTTCATTTGGCGATAGCATAAAATTAGGTAAATCAGGGGAGAAAGATGGTCGTTCTCCCAACAATTATAAAGTTTTAATGACTTACAAATTCTGCAATCTTAGAAACTCCAGCAGGGGATCTTAAATATTCTGAGCCAGACATTTGGCGATTCTTTAGGCCTTCATCAAACTTTTAACGCAACGGAAGGTCTTGTATGAGGATCTCAGGGAAAATTTACCTGAAATGAAATTGACGTAGTATCTGATACTTTTTCAGGAGTAGAAATGTTGTCTTAGTATCAAATTTAAACAGAATATATTGGACTAATATTGTTCACCATCAAATATTCTGAGGTGAGCTACAAAAGAGCAGTACGAGTGAAAGAAAAAAGCGCATCATGGAGCAAGTCGTTACCTCTGAAATACGAGCAACCGCAGTTTAGCAAATGGCTCGTGTTGGTAAACACTAATATCTTCTGGCCTCTGAGAAAAGTAAGGTTATTTGGTCTAGCTTACCTCTTACGCGTTCTCTCGTTTTTCCCTAATTGATTGAACGAAAAGCAAGCTGGACTTAGCTGACAGTTTTTTAAAAATATCCACTTCCACCTTTCTATACCTGACCGACACGTTTACTTAGAAGATTACGACTCAATTCAACTCGTCTCTTCACAGTCAGGCTATTTTTCCAGCTATTTGGAAACTATTACTGTCATTCCCACAGAGAAATAGATCACATACGAAATAATGATTCGCCAATAGGGCCTGACAAGCTTTTCAATAATATAAAACTAATAAATTAAGTGTTCCCTGCCTTTTGCTCCCAGTCGATGAAAATTATGTCTATATTGACAAATAGATTAAGTGAATGTGCTTTGATCCATTCTAGAAAATTCAAAATTTTGTCAAGTTTCCGACCCAAGGTTACTTGACATTAAGGTGGGATTAAGTGAAATCGTGTCCAGGTGTTTAAAAACGTTGCGAACAGATTTTCTCTAGAGAGCGGATACAATGATCTCAACAGTCACCCTTTCATGATCTTATGTCTCGTTGAACTGTGTATAGAAAAACTCTTCACACCATCTCACTCACTGGGCCCTGTACGTTGCTATGAAACACTTTGACGATGTCGATAATGTTCTCTGATATTAAAACTGATAATGTTTCTCCATGTTCAATGTTGTTCTTACAGTAAACACTCAATGAATCAATGTAAAAAACCTTTACATGTTCAACTAGTGGAGGGAGCGTATTAGGACCAAGTCAATTCTCAGGCTCAAATTATTCCAAGAGATAGAAAGTTCAGATGGGCGGAGAATGCTCCAATAATTGACTTCCCCGCCACATCACCTAGCTTGAAATTGTATCGATGCGATTTTTTAAACGTTGCACAAGTTCGCCTCTCGGCTGTCATCCATTCTTCCTAAATTTTTACATGTACAGATAAAATGCAGAATCTGAGGAACTTGTAGCACATCTTTACTGAGATTAAATCATTGAAAATGGCTTGCACACTTTTAAAAACTTTATTTACTCTATATAATATACACAGCAAGGCTGGGATCTTGACGCCAATCTCTCTATTGCTTGCTTTTTCGGATGTACTTTCACAGAATGAAACAAATCGTTACGTCGATCTGTCGAAAATACATTTAAGGAGGTTGCAACATCAAAAAGCCGTCTTCATAGTAGCTTAAGGACTTATTCGTTGCCAAGGCGATGTCCACGGCCCCAACCTCCCCAACCACCACCGCCTCCACCGTTGTCGTTACGTGGCCTACGACTTGCAGGGGGAACACCAAATCCACTTACACCTCCCTGGCGGTTTGGAAGAAGCTTGTACCTGTAAAAAGCGACGGAAATGAGAAAATTACATTCAAACAATAACCTCACCCCTCCAGCAAGAGGTTTTCTGTCTCTATCTCTAAGCTCGCTTGGAAATATCAGTCTGGCTTCATACATTAATTTTGGCCCCTTCAACACCCCCTCCCCTCCGCCAGCCACCTGCTTAGCCCTAAATTCACCTTCTGGGAGTTTTCTGTACATTTCTCATGACCGCTCATCGGGGTCATGCATAAGATATGAAGAAGTATAAACTAAGACTCTGTTTACAACTCCTTTTGCAGGGCTATTCTGCCATAAGTACACTAATAATAAATACCGGTAAGTACAATAATATCACTGTGAAGAAATTTAATTAAAAAATTAAGTAAAGAACCTATCACTTAAAAGTGCAAGAATTAAGAGCAATAAGATAACAAATCATGTGTATCACAAAATATTACAATCTAAACAGATAGAATATATCAAAAATTGAGATAGTATTATAAGTGACCCTGAAATGAGATCAAATCTTAGGAAACTACAGAATCTGGTGGAAAAACAAAGCATATTGTATAAAAGTACAGGTACATCTAAAGTGAAAAGAGTTTCCATGTGATCATTCAAGGTAAAGAATAAGCCAACAAAGAAATGAAAAATGTACAATGTCAACTAGACCACATACAATATGGATGGTGTAGAAAGAAATCGCTGTCCTCCAAAATCTTGTGGATACTTGAACATGAGGAAGAAGTAAAGGTGTCCCACAAAGATACCAATTAGCTCCATAATACCACTGCAATGGAAACAGATAAGACTTGTTGAAGATTTGAAACAAAACTTACACAAAGGAAGAGTGAGATCTGATACATACCCTCCCTGAATGATCATGTTAAATGCAGCTAACACCCATGGAAGATACATTGCCTGAAAAGAAAACAAATAAAATTAGATTCTTTGATGCCACAAACAAGTCAACTTTATGCCAAGAGTGTTTGGCTCTCTCCAAATCTTTTTGAAGATTAGAAATTTGTTGAAAAAAGAACATGCATGATCACAGTGTATTTGAGAAGTTTCAGGGTTATTGTTGGAAAACTTAAGTTGCTAGTTTTTTTATGTACTAGTATATTCTAAGTTTATCTTATCTTCATTGTCTGTTGAGAAACAAAACAAGAGAAATAAAAGCCTTTAATATCATTACTACAAACCGCCATTATCCTTCTTTGTCAAAATTAAAGATGGGTAATGAGTTTGATGAATTCTGTCATTTAACAAAATGGAAATCTATACCTTAAACTGCATGCCAAACCAGAACTGTACAATAGTATCTTTATTCACTTGACACCACACATAAAGAACACTTAAAACAAGCGGGTCCATGAGAAGCTGAAAAACAAACACAGATATTATGCTTTGGGACAAAAAGCAATACAATATGAAAAACAAAGGCATTGGAAAAATGTGAAGTTTCTACTTCTATGAACAGTCCTCTTGCTACATATTTTTAAGAAAGGTGTAACCTGTAAGTTATGTGTGAGCTTTGAAGCATGATGCAGTAAAACTGTAAAAGAGAGTGATGAAGGTACAAGAGGTTTGAGACAGTTATTCCCACTTTTTGCCAGAGCTATTGATTTTTGTAGCTTTGTCACACTCACTTAAGCACACTCAAAACTGCCAATGTGTAGATTATTTTACATGTGCAAAAGATTTCTCTGATCCTGTAAACTATCCTCCAACCAATACATTTCTAAATAATAATAAAGTATTATCATTTGTCTCATGATATAGTCACTTATGATGTAGATTGTGACATTTTGACTGCATACTGCTATTCTAGATCAACAGCATCTTTTGCTCTCCCTAGCTCTGATCTCAGTGTAGTCTCCAATGTGAAGATAGAAGCTGTGGAATACCAACCAATCACAGTGGAGCATCTGGCTTTATAAGAAGACCTGAAACCAGTCAACCTTATTACCCGAAGAAGACTAGCAGATGAAATGTTGCTATTCATGTCATAAGTGACTATATCCAGAGACAAACAATACTACTTTATTATTGTACTATGCCACTTTATTATTGTACTATTAGGCACAACCTTTTTTACGAAATACATTTCTCAATGAAAACCTTTCCAAATGATCATGTTAAATGCAGCTAACAGATCAGTGTTTCAAACTCCTGAAGACCAAAGCAAATGTTCATAACATCTACAGGAAGAATCAGTCTGTGCTTATTGTGTGTTGTTCATAGAGGTTTAAAAACTATTTAAAAAATTTCTACCTTTCTTTATTTGAGAAACATTAAAGAAATGCTATAGAATATTGCAAGCATTTGAAAAGGACTTGACAGAAATGTCCCTTATAAAGAATTCAATGATAATAACCAGGGACACATATTTTAGGTTAAACATTTTTCAGGTTAAAAAAATTGTATAACTTACCCTTAAGGTCATAAGAAATCCTATGATCTATTGTTAGACAAGTCAAGGAACACTTCAAACCAGTAAGCGAACATTACAATATTTTCATAAAAAAGCCTTTTATGTGCAATTTCTAAAAATCAATGATGCAAAAGAGGAGTGGAAGAACTCATGCCGATGTCAAAGTGCTAATTACAATATAAATAAACCTTTGTTTTACCTTAATTCTCCAAACTTAATTCCTTGGAATTTAGTTGGTTTTTTGTTCTTTGCTCCATGTCATTCTTCAACAAAGAATTAAGTTAAAAAGGATACAATTAAAATAATTGCATTGAATAGCATCATAAACAAATAATCAGCTGGCCGACCATCAAACAGGCCTACAAGGAAAAAGAACAAGAGTTTAAGAAGTAATTTCATCAGATTCACATCAAGCCCTGACCTACAACTTCACTGTGAGGCAGTATGATCATATGAACCTTGGATATAGTTATGCAAGAGGCTATCACTGAAGCAGGATAAATCACAGCATGATTAATATTCACATGTGTCTGGAGGAGGGCAGGAAGGCGGGGGGGGAAGATTAGGAAATGTCTGGACTTTGAGGTATGGGCTTCTTGGAAAAGGGAGCCTGGTTAAAATTCATACTGAGGCAAAATGTGAACAGCTTTTTATGTTCTAAGTATCACTGTTGCCCAAATATGAGTATCACACATCACATGCATTTCTTAAAATGAAACACTATATGTAGGTTTATTACAGAAAATAGCATGTACTCAAACTGTCCCACATCAAGGAAGTAGAGGAAGTTCAAGGGTTCTGAACAGGGGGCAAATGAGAGCATTATTTATTCATATTCCAAAACTTTCCTATTCTTGAGAAATGCAATAAATCATCACTACTTGATAAGAGGATGGTGATGAGAGAAAAGAACATAGTTAGAGCACATATTTTTTATGCAATAATCAAGACTAGTGTTGAAGATGAGTTTAAAGGGGAACTGAAGCCTAAAATTGGTATATTGTTTTCATTCATTTCTAGTTAGCTTTAGAGGAGTAAGATAAAGTGTTGATATTCAATTTTGTTCACTTCTTGTTTTTTACGAGAAAATTCGATTTGAAGTTGCCTTTTTCCCGCTTTGGGGGCTGTAAGACCGTTGGCTCTAAATAGGTCAGCAGCAGTTGTTTACAACGTCAGTGGTGGGGAACCAACTTAAGAAAAACAACTGTTACTATTTCATTTTCGTAGTTAATCCCCATTACAGGTCACGCAACTTTGATAACTCCATAACCAAACCAAATTTCTGTAGGAAGAGTACGGGTTTATTATCTCTCTTCCCCACCAGTGATGCAAGAGCGAGCTAAAATGACCGCTGACATCTCTTTTCTGAGCCGCCATACTATGAGGCCAAAAATACCACTTTAAACTATTTTTCTGAGGTGAAGTTGGGCCCAAAGACTGAAAAAAACCCTCAAAGATTGCTATTTGCACTAAAGCTGCAATTTAAAAATGGTTCATTTTTAGGGTTCAGTTCCCCTTTAACTTGAAATACCAGAGGTTCTAAGTTAAACCAACACCCTAAGCAGACTAGCAGTTATCCACAGTTTCCACTAAAAATATAATACTCTCTGATTGTCCTGGTTTCACCAAGCATTTTAAGTTTACTTCCTTACCATACACAGATTTTACTTTCCATAATTTCAATACTTAATACCTAAAGTATATTATTTTCTCAAGTTTCAACCAAAACTGAACATGAGTTCAGTTTTGGTTGAAATAACTAATTTCTTAAGAATCTCTACAAACCAGCACCTGTTTCAAGTCTTGTAGAGTATGAATACAGGAAGTATAAGTTTATCAAATAATGAAATCCAGTCTGAGGTGAAATGGGGTAATATACAAATGCTGTGATTAATCTCCATATCTAGAATGAAAATAAGAAGAGATCTGTCAGAATTGATGTCTCCCCTTAACCCTTAAGCACCTTAGAAAATTTATAGAGAACAGAACAGTATAGAGAACAGAACAGTATAGAGAACAGAAAAGTATAGAGAACAGAACAGTATAGAGAACAGAACAGTATAGAGAACAGAACAGTATAGAGAACAGAACAGTAAAGAGAACAGAACAGTATAGAGAACAGCATAGAGAACAGTATAGCTAATAGCTAGTGATCATATATGGATGGAGAAAAAATCAAGTTGTTCAAAATTAATGACTGTCACAATTATATCAGAGAATAAGTTGAGTGCAAATGGTTCTTTCTTTATACAATACGAGTTAATTTTCTGAGCAATTAATAAGTTTTTTTCTAGATTTTTATTCGCCTCTTTACCTGTCAGCACAGATGAGTACAGTCGAACCTTGATCATCCGGACCTCGATTATCTGGACTTTCTCTCTGGTCCCAATTTTTTCATAAATATTAATTAGTTGTTATCTTGAAAACTCAAAGTCGCAAAAAGCCCAATAATCCTTTCAAAAGACTGTTAAAACAGCATATTATCCTGTGCGCTTTTCAAAATTCACAAGTGTGATGAGACAAAGAAATATTCTGATGCATTCAGCTGATATCTGATTGGCTGAATTGTTTTGTTGTCAAGGGAATTTCATAAAGCATCATACTGTGAAAGATGTGCTTTATATGTTTTGAGATCCTTGGTACAAAGGAAGCCTGGAATCTATTTGGAAGGCTTATGACAAACTGAGAATTCATTCGGACAACAGTGAGTCAAACTCACAGTCTGAATTCAGACTAAATAATATAGCTGAGTCCATGGTCTAAATGTTGGAACATGTACAGCAACTTGACAATGAGGAAATGCCTAATGCTTGCAATGTGGAAGACTGGCTTAATCTGGAAAATGAGCTCCTGACTTCACTGCAAATGTCTGATGAAGAGACTTTAGCCACTGTTGTGGGAGATTTGATGGGAGTTGAAAGTGGATGTAGCAATGAGGAAGATGAGGGTGAGGATGAGAAATTAGTAAAGAATAAAGAGGAAGTGCAATGTTCCAAAAAATGCTTATTGTGGATGGAATCACAGAACAATAATGACCCTATGTAGTTAATGCAACTAAGACGAATGATGGACTTCCCAGTGTGATCAAGCTACAAGTCTTTGAAGCAAACAAATGTGCTTGAACATTTTAGGCCTTTGTAAACACCTGAACTGAAAGTTTTTATTTGTAAATACATACAGGCTGTGTAGATTTCACAATTAAAATGTTTTCTTTGCTGTATACCTTTTGTTTACATTTCTATCACATTTATATTCATATTTTCGATTATCCAGACTATTTACCGAGGTCTCGACGAGTCCGGATAATCGAGGTTCGACTGTAATGCTTCTACGCCTGAACTGTATGCTTCAAACATCTTGGCAAGCACTATTTTTCATAATTTCTGTTTGATACCATTGACTTAACGTCCGTAATGCGTTCGCATAACTGCTGTCAAATAATACACTGGCTTACCTGGAAACGGCGTACAACGCTTGCATAGTCCAGTATCATATAAAATCCATTTATGAGTCCTAACCTTCCAAGAAGAGGAAATATAATGGACATGGAGAACCACCATCTTGTCACAATGGGTATTCCTCGAAACCACGTTCCAAGTTCATTCTCTGCCATTCTTTCAAGCAATAAAATGTCCTTGAATTTTAGCGTATTGAAAATTAGTCACGATAAGAGTGAAAATCGTCCAAAAATCATTAAAAGAGTTCTGATGGTGCAAATTTCAGACAAAAACAGACGTGGCGAAGAATTACTGCACCGAGTGCATTGTAGTGCATTGTGGGATATCTAGTGTCACGGTTTACGCGGTCGAAAAGGAACTAAGTCCGAAAGGAGATGTACGGAGTATTGAGGAACATTCCTCAAATAATCATACCAAGAGGTTGTGCTTCTAGCTCTTGCTCTAACTCGGCGGTATGTGGGTCAGCTGAAGAAAATTTGGCAGCCATGTACATAAAGAGGCGTTGAAAAGCTAGGATCACCACTGTTAAGTAAGTTTGCTGCTCTGGTCGTTCGGGCATCGTCAGTTGAGGAGGCGGTTTATTATGCTCTGAGCGTAACCATCTTACCTTGCTCGCAAGGAGCAATAAGAACCACATTGTTCTTAGAGATCTCCAGGTTCAGCCGCAAGTTCCCACCAAAGGCACTCGCAGAGTTACCGAACTAACATCCATTAGGTTGCTGAGAGAAGGAATCCGACCGACCCAGTGAGCTAGGGGAGACGCGAAGAGGGAAGCCGTCCACCGCTTGGGATTCCCTGTGAATGAGGCAAAATCGACATTGGTGACACGAGAATACCTATTCAAGAGAGGATGAAAGGACACGAGATGGGTATACATTTAAACCGCACCCAGACCTCTGCCGTTTCTGAGAACGGCCAACAAGACCACATGCGGCCCAAGCTCTCTTTGAGGAACATAATTTGCATATCGATTTATAAGGATTTGTATGGGATTTTCTACAAGATATCCATAGAGATAGTTAAAAGTAAAAATATCAAATAAAAATGGCTTACCTTACGTGTGTTGTTTGCTCCTGGTGTCCTTATTTTACTGATTTCACTTGATTTAAGCGGTTTTTTAATCCTGGTTCTCTACCACATGGAGAGAAGACAAGGCCGTACACTTTTGTCCGGACAGCCTCCTAAACGAAGTAAAAAATCCCAAGCTAAAATGTACCTACGGCCAAAGGTCAACTTTTGCCCTTGAATTCTGCGGTGGATTTGTGGCTGTGGGTACATTTTAGCTTGGGATTTTTTACTTCATGCGGGAGGTAAGGCTGTCCGAACAGAAGCATTCGGCCTTGTCTTCTCTTTAAGTGAGAACCAGGATTAAAAGAAACCACTTAAAACAAGTGAAATCGGTAAAATAACGACACCAGGAGTAAACAACACACGTATGGAATAAGGTAAGATATTTTTATTTAATATTTTTACTTTTAACTATCTCTATGGATATCTTGTAGAAAATCCCATACAAATCCTTATAAATCGATATGCAAAAGAACACAAAATTGTGTTCTTTGTGTGGTTCTCAAAGAGAGCTTGGGCCGCCTGTGACAAGACCGGCCATCACCCGCTTTGGAACGAAGTAAAGTTTATTATTGATCGAGACTCACAGATACACCAGAAGACTTCACCCTGACAACATCAACCTGGATAAGGGAATCAAATTTCCTGAAGCACGGACACCAACGATCAAGAAACACCGTACTGGTGCGACAATAAACCGCGGAGGAAACAACCTGGAAAAAGCCCGTTTGGTAAACCGGAACTCACCTGAACGATGGGGATCGCAACCCGCCAATCACATTAGATCATCGGGATACAAATGGCAACGCCAACCTCGTTCCCAGGGTCTCTCATCTTCCCGCCTCCGGGAGCCCTCTTTACTCTTGTACACTCTCACACCAGGGGGCGGGAAGATGAGAGACCCTGGGAAGGAGGTTGGCGTGAGCAGTCAGTCAAAGCCATCGCCTGATGAAGACAAGCTGTAAGCAGTCGAAAGTTCGCGATCTATATCTCATATGACTACATTGTGCGACAAAAGATAAAACAGTTTTATTAAAATATCAATTACATAAACAGTAAAGAAAAACCATACTATTTCCTCTATGTAACCATAGAAACGGTGTTTCATTGGCGTTTGAATAATGGAAATAACCTTTTGTTCGGATCTCTATTGATGAACGATTATCACTTTGCATAATATGCACAATGTTTCTGAAACTTAAACTTATATCACAATAAATAACTTTTTCGTTTTACCTGCATTTCAGTGTAAGTTTAGATGTTGATAAAGGATTTTAGCTTGTTTAGAGTACTAAAGCTACTCGGAAAATATTACTGAAGGCAATTGCTTAATTTGTTTACATAACATTCCGAAACAATTCAAACTTTTTACCACGGACTATTTGCGAGTGAAATAACTTAGCTAGTGATTACACGCTGTTCGATTTGTGTTCATGCAGCGATCAAAATCGAAATATAATATTAACTTGTCTATTCTTAGCTCGAACTGCGTTCAACACGAATTTCATCAGTCGTGTTTGTTTTTTCTTTTACAACAAAAGCCGTGACTCTTGAACAAATTTCTGATATACAAGAGAAGACAAATGTCTTTAAGCGGATTAAAAACACGAAACAATGTTCTGAAAGTATTATTTCACGAGTTCAATAACATTTGAAAGATTGTCTTCGTCAAACTCTGGCCAAGATCGGAAGGGGAATAAATAATACGTCACGTTCAATAGTTCATTAGTAACTGCTAGCTGGAGACAGTTATTGGGAAGAGTTTTTTTATTTTTCTTTTGACTTGGTATCAGAAAAACGTGACCTAAGTCCAAAAGTCTAACACGCGTTAGTTCTTGCAAGAGTTCAAAGACCCTTTATTCAAATAAACTTTTACCTCTGTAGAGTGGGGAAGTTGAGGAAAAGCGTGTTCAAATTACTCTCAATCAGGGATAAGTAAAAAGGGCTGTTTCTAATATTGAGTGAAGTATAATTGAAAAATTTAAGACACCAGGAGGATAAATAGCAGTTTATGAGACCACGATAGCCCCAAGTTTAATAGGTGTCCACCCTCCCCTCCCCCACCTCCTTTAAACCACTAACAGATCGTTCTCTCATAAATATAAGCCAGTACACGCACTGCACTCAATCGATGCGTAACGGGGAATATAATACAGACATTGTACGCCATCAACTAATCAATTGTACTTTACAAGAGGAAAAACAGGCCTACAAAATTTATAAATACGATTTACAATTTAGCTTGATCTAGGATTTATTCAACTTGCCATAAGTTGGTGCCGTTTGAGAAACTTAAAAACTGCAAGGAACAGGATTGTGAAGGCGATTGCATAACATTCCGTCAAGATGCCAGTCTTGGAAAGCCTCAAGAATCACATCAAGGGAGCATTCCTTGATATCTCCATAATAACCTACGTATTGGTTGTCATTTTTGGCACAGCTTCATGGATTGCCATCAACGGACTTTGGGTGGAGTTACCCATCATTGTCCAAGAAATTCCTGAAAGCTGGTCTCTGCCATCCTACCTAACTGTTATAATCCAATTGGCCAACATAGCTCCGCTGGCTTTTACACTAGGAAACAAGTTCTACCCTCGTGTGGTCCACGAGATTCCCGTCATTTACATCAGCCTTGGTATTGGGACAGCTTCCTGTGTTCTGTTGGTATTTTTCTGGAAGGAAACGTTGTACATCGCCGGAGCTGAAAGAAGCACAGCACTTTTAGTTCTCTGTTTCTTTCTTTCCGTGGTTGATTGTACCTCGTCTGTTACGTTCCTACCATACATGGCAATCTATCGAGAAGTTTACATGAGTCCTTACTTCTTAGGCGAAGGTTTAAGTGGTCTTATACCCAGTCTGGTGGCATTGGGGCAGGGCGTGGGAGGGGGGTCACATACCCTTTGTCCCAGTCAGAGCCCCCCACAGACTCCCGTGAACATCACAAATGGAACCTCCAACGGCACTGACTCAGGAAGTTGGGGACCCGGCCCAAAATTCCCCGCCGAAGGATTTTTCTGGTTCCTTGCTGGGATGATGTTGGCATCTGGCTTGGCCTTCCTGGGGTTAAATTACCTCCCGGTGGCCAAACGACAGCAGGTGAAGACGATTTACGAAGTTTCTCCTGATGGAGGCCAGCGTTCCACCTTAGAGCTTGTGTTACACACTCAAATCAACCAGATAATGAAACACAAGGTTATATTTATTCCCAAAACTTCGAGCACATGCGTTTTCTCCCTTTTACCCGACACCCTTTTGGGTTCATGAACTCGACAAAACATGTCACGCACTCTACACTTGTCTCTAACGAACAGAACAGCTCAGGTTCAAATGCACAATCTCATCAAGGTTCCAAAGATCCCGACAACACGACCACAAAAGATTCCATATTCCTGATGATTATCTTAGCTGTTGTCAGCGGCCTGAGTAATGGCGTAATACCAGCCATCCAGTCATACGCCTGTATTCCTTACAGTTACTACATCTATCATTTGACCCTCACTCTGTCCAATATTGCCAATCCTGTCACCTGTTTTGTGTTTCCATTTATCCGCTCCACCTCAACACTGATCATAGCAGTGCTGAGTTGTGTTTACTTTGGAATGTGTACCTATATTCTCATTGTTGCATCACAAAGTCCAAATGTGTTGTTGCGCTGTGATGATTCTGGTGCTGTATTGATTGTAAGTACATCCTCTGATGAAGTCATTAACCAATCACGTTTTTGGCCACTTTTTTTTAAGCAATCTCGCTTCATTTAAATAGTTGTCACACCAAACTGCTCAAGTAGTACCTTAGTGATTACTTTTGACTCAAAACCGATTGAAATCCCGCCAAATTTTAGCGAAATTCTTTAGGCTTCAGGGTATCGTTCTGGACTATTTCTTTACTAATCCATAATTATAATTACGTTTCGTGAGTTATTCTCGAGAGAGAGAGAGACAGTTTTCTGGGTTAGTCACACCGTGATGCGTCGATACAAAGACGACAAGTAGCTTCTTGGGTTCACAATAGAGTCAGTTCAAGTGTTTGGGGCATTTTATGAATTGAATTTCTAGGGCTCTTGGGAACACAATCCGTCTCGCTATCATGTAAAGTCTCCCACTGTTTAGCTGCCACACCTCAAGTTGGCGCTCAGGGCGACAACAACATTCACGAGGGGCGTTCAGATATTTCTCATTTTAAAATCCTTGATTCAAGTGGACACAGACTAAACACAGACCGAAAGCAAACCAGGAACAATTATTGAAAAAATGTTTGTGGCTGTGTGGTTAACACTGATTTACTTGCCGATTCGTCTTAAATGACTTCTTTTTTCTATGCGCGGTAGGCCAGCTCAGCGATCTAGCTGCAATTTCAGACGATGTAAGACAATTAAGTTTTTACAATGCACCTGTTTTGTTTTTCACAGATTAGTGAACTCTGATTGAGCTCGAGAACCCTGTGACTCGCTAATGATGAGCTATTCGGTAGTACCGTTGTATTAGTCGTAAATTGAGTATCAATAAGGGATCTTCTTATTGAGAACACTAGTAAAAAGTGACTGACTAAGCCGACTCAAGTTGTATTCTAAGTTTTTTTATGACCAATGAATATGTTTTCTCTTTCCTTAAAGGTTTTCATCAGTGTCAGTGCAGTTGCTGTGGTGACATACATTAAAGTTGCTATTGGAGGAATAATGCGAGAGAAGGGTCGCAAGCATTTGTTGTGGTATGGCGTAAGTGAACAGATTGGCTCATGCGTGGGTGCATTAGCCATGTTTGCTCCAGTAAACATCTACCATTACTTTAAACAAGAGTGAAAGTATTCCTGTGGGAATACTGTATAGGCTGGAACTTGAAGTGAACTTAATCTAGTGCAGCAGGTCTCCTAAAATACAATTTTATGTATGGATATTACCGTATGTTTCTTAGCCTGCATAGCATACAGCATCGAAAGACCGGAGCTAGGTCACAAATTATATTAGATTCTCGCCGCTGCTTAAGAAGAGAATGAGTTGCAGTGTTTAGAAACTCTGCGAAGTAAAGGCAACGTCAAAGAAGTTTCACTTTATTTTATTTTTATTTTTTCAATTCCATTAACGGAATGAGAATGTTCACTTTCTCTCGGAGGTTTCAAACAGGTTTCTTTTTCAATTCATAAAAAGAAAAAAATGAGTTAGTGATCACTCTTCAGGGTGTTAGATAACGCCATTGAAGTTTTTCGGTTCGCCGATGGATCACCGATTCAGCCTCTCCATTGGTTGAGTGAATCAAAGCTCTTGAGGTTAAAAAATTTTAATAAAAGCTTTTTGGAAGAAAAAACTTAAATTCGTGAGTTTTATATTGAGGGAAGCTATTGCAAAGTCTTAGAGACTTAGAAATTTTTTTAACACTTAGGCTTTTCAGATTGTTAGATTACTCAGCCTTAGTACACCTTAATCAGGAACGCTTTTTCGCTCAGTATAGGTGCAGCCCGTGTATTCTGATATCTTCTAAAATTTCATGTGTAGGGAAGCTTGGATCTCAAAGTTAAAAAAAAAAAAAAGAAAAAATAAGCAGCTGTGCAATTAGCAAATAATTATTAACTAATTACGGAGAGAGATATATCTAACCATCACGTGTCAGCGAAAAATGAGCGAATTGAAATTAGACAATATAGATTTTAGGAAGACTCGGCACATTACAATGCATTTTAACCCGTTAGACTACATTTTTTCCCAATGATTTTTACGCACAAACGCTCGCTAAGCCACCACCTTCATCCAGTGGCGAACTTGTTAAGAGCCCACGGTTTTGGAAAGATTTAATGACTTTTAACTGATACAACGAGAATGGCTGCACAGTGTTGACGCAAAATGCAGCTTAGTTAGAGCCGTACAGATGACGCACGCGCGAGTGCCCAGACTTCGCTCTTTGTAATTCCCTCAGAAGTAAGTATTCTCTGCGGTGAAATACATTGTTTCAAGTACAACTGTACCTGCACTAGCTTCAGAACTGGTCTTGTTACTATTAAAATTGAGGGCTAAAAGATGAATAGTAGTCTTTTATATAGCCACGCTAGAAGGACTCTGGAAACCGTTTTAGATAGATAGATAAATTTATTTCAATTCGAGATGTACAATGAGCCAGCGACTCGTACTAAGTGCATTCGAATATATAAAACTCTACGTCTACAGTTAACTAAAGGCATACAGTAACTAGATATTAATATAACGAGAATATAAATTACTTAAGATAATATACTTCCTAAAAAGAATACATAATTTGGTAACATGGTTTCCAGTAACTAGTAAAGTATTATTACTCGTGATAAACATACTAAAAATAAATGCTTAACATGAAGAACTGGTAATGTATAACAGCATAGTGGTAAAACTGCGAGAAATAAATACCTATGCAAAAAAACAAAAACAAAAAAAACAAAAATAAAAGGTCGGTAGGGTAATTAGGTAATAAAATAAACTAAGATATACAAAGAACGGTAGAGATAACTCTATTGTTCACATATATTACATTTGTACAATGTGTCACTAGTAAGATTGGTTTTCGTTAGCTTTTTTAAATTTGTTTATGGAGTCAAGTTGCCTGAGTTTAGTAGGGAGATTGTTCCACATACGAGTAACTAGATAGATAAAGGATTTATGATTCGATTTACTGTTCGATATTGGCTGAGCTATTCTGAGGTTGCCAGTTTAACAGAGTTGTCACCTAGACCATACGCACGCAACTTGGCAGTAAGTAATCCATGACAGATAGAATCAAAGGCTTTGATGAGATCGATGGTAATAGCAGCCCCACGGCATTGTTTTTGATCAAGGGAAGAGCGCCAATCCTCAGTCGTTTTAATAAGTGCTGTGCTGCAGGAATGACCTTTTACAAATCTAGAAAGTGAGTCACAAAGCTTGACTTTAATCCACTTATACGACTGGTCGTAGATGACACGTTCGGCGATCTTTGATAATTGCAGGCAATAAAGATATTGGCCGATAGTTGGCCTTATCACTTCTGTCATCCTTCTTAAAAACAGGGACAAAATTTGACCGTTTCCACTCAGAAGGCCACTACCCATTAGTAATATTCCTGTTAATGATGGTAGTGAGTGATTTGGTGATTGATGAAGAAGAAATCTTGAGAATCCTGGGAGATAGACCATCGGGACCAGTGGACTTTCTGGAGTCAAGTGCTGCTAACAGTTTACAGATTGAATCGACAGTGACGTGAGTGAAGTTGAACTCCTGTATTATTGGACCTAATCGCGATTACGCCCTCCTGCTGACATGGTATATTCTCAGAAACAAGATCGGGGAAATAATCATTGAGAGCATTAGCTACATCAGTTTTTTTGGTTGGTGTTTGTGAATAACGAATTGATCCTCTGTGAAGCATGCAAATCGGATCGAGACAAGGCTTCCCTTGGGGTATGGGTAAAGGGATGTTTTCTTATGTGGAGAACCATAGTCTGACTTGAGCCAGAGAAATTTTGGTGATAAAATAACGTCCGTCATGCCGACAGTTTTTCCGTTGGTGGTTGATAGGCATGCGAGGTAAGGGAAGGGTAGGAATCTCAAGATTTTTTAACACAACCACATCTGAGCTTTTTTCAAGTAAACCAACTCAGGAACAGAATCAAATTGTTGAAGTTTCCAGTTTTTGATTTACAGAAGTGGTCACTAATAAACAGGCAAGAATCCTAAAACTCCTGGTCATGAGCACAGAGAGGTAAGGTGAGGTCGGCTTAGCAGCAAAATTCCCCACCCTGCCAGAGCTTATCCAGGATCCAGTGGCTTAAAGGGACTACCGATATAGGCGGATTCATACTGACGTCATTGTTTACATTTTTGCTGATTTGCATACGGCTTTGCGATAAGAATGAAGCATGTTAGATACAAATTGACTTTAGGCAGCTAAAGAGCAAGTAAACCTTAGTACATGGTGAAATTTTTAGCTCTTTGGGTGTAATATTCAAAAAGAAATAGTCCATCAAAAACTGCAAAATTTATGGGTGGCAAAAGCGCTAATGAGCTCATACATTCTATGTAAAATTTTGAGTTTTTAAATCCGTGTTGCACAAAAAGTATTCAATGCATCAGGCTCGTATTCATTGGCCGAGTTAATCGTACTTTGACCTTTCGATATTCGGAGCTGATTTAGTTTTAGCTCCATCAGAAACTGAACTGTTTATGCTAATGAGGCAAATATTGTAAACAAGGATTCCCCTATACTCCTCCACTCCCCCACCACTGTTTGACTGGAGCCCAGTCCATTGCATGGTTACCAGGCTTCCCTAATCATCTTATACTCCTGGGTGGACAGATCCATAGCACAAGTAATGAGGCTTTCCCAAGAAAACATCATGAAGGCCCTGCCAATGCTCAATACTGGATGTTTTGATGTTTCAGTCAAAGCAAGGCAGGTGACATGGGATGGAGGGCTGCACACTAACCTCAGGCCTAACTTACCGTGATTAATGCTTTTGTTTTCAGTAAATTGTTTTACTGTTCGACCGTTTGGGGTATTACTTCCAAAACTAATTTAAAAAAAGTACAATTGGTTCAGAACTTTGCTGGCAGGATAGTTCTTAGTCTTAGAAAATACGATCACATTTCCGAAGGCTTAAAGTCACTTAAATGGCTTTCCGTTTCTGATAAATTTTTTTGTACAATTCCATTATGGTCCATAAGTGCATGAATGGTAGAGCTCCTGGCTATCTTATTAAGAAATTCACATGTAGATCAGAACTTCATGACAGAAATACGCAATATAAAAAAGATCTAAATCTGCCGAGATGCAGATTAAAAACTGGGCAACGATCTTTTGCTTATAGAAGGGCTACCTGCTGGAATAGACTTCCAAAGACTTTAAAGAAGTAATGAACTCTGGTACTTTTAAGAAGAGACTGGTAAATATGCTTTTAACGAAAAATTGATTTATCTTTATTTCCCTTGTAGTTAATTTCATTAGTTATTACATTTCATTCCTTCGTCTTGTATTGTAATTTTTAATATATTGTGGCTGAAAAGCCCTGTAAAGGGAGCTTCAATAAATGTAAGTATGTATGTAACTTTGAAATTGCAGTTTTTGAAAAAATACCGAGTACTAGAACTCTTAATCTCTGGAGGCATTCTAGGGGTGATAAAACAATCATGAATTTTCATAGACAACAGCCACAAATAGGACAACATCCATCCAGGGAACGTTTCAACCTCTTTTTAATTTTTCTCACCCTAAATAGGATCCACTTCTTGATTAAAAAGAAATTCACAACATTAAGAATCCAACAATTTACTTGTAATATGTTAGTTCAGACAACTTATCTTTCACCATAAGCAGTGAAAGAGCCACTAATACCTTAAAACTTTCTGATAAATATAAGTTAGAATTTGACATCTACATAACAACCACAATGAAGTCAATTCTTGTTTTAACATAATATGTTAAAATTTACCTCAGTTTTCTCTTAGTTAATTTTGGCCCAAAGCTCAAAATTTTTAAAGTCACCTATGATCATAAACTGGTCACTGGAGATAAAATTCAGTAGCTGAAAAAAAAAAAGCTATAAAACAAAGTAGCGGAAAAGATACATAACATTTCATTAGGACCTTTATCTCTCTTTGGACCTCTAAAACTCGAAACTTAATATATTAAAACTTGTTACATGACTGCACGACACAGGTTACTTGATGCAAATTTAGACTACAGAACTTTTTTGTGTGCCATGACAACCAAAATATTAATAGCGTGGTGGCCTACCAATAGATGCAATGCATTGGAAAAAAAACAGCAACAACAACAAACCACACAAAAAACAGAAGCATCAAAAGGCTGTTAAATTCCTTTAAAATGTCATAAGATTGCTTAAGGTTTAAAGACACTTTTAACTCTTAATATCCAACATATTAATTCCTTGGAAAAAAATGCATCTATTCTCATTCGGTAGCTCTCATGCTTGCTTAAAGAAATGGTAAACATTTACTGGAGCAAAGATTGCCAGAGCACCCGCACAAGACCCAACTTGAACATTAACGCCATACCACAAGAGGTGCTTACGACCTTTCTCACGCATGATTCCTCCAATGGCAACCTTGACTTAGGTTACCACAGCAACAGCACTGACACTGATGAAAACCTTCCGAAGAAAGGAAACAAAATTTGTAAATCAAGTGTATCAGAGTAAGCCACGGCACAAAAGTCTTTAAATGTGTTATTTGAATACTACATCCCCCAGAGTAAGAAACAATTGAGGCTAAATCTTTCTCAGTATCAAATTTAAAAGTGTGATGCACAATTTAACATAGTGCACAATATTTTACCACCAATTGCTGTTGTTAAAGAAGTTAAATAGGAGATATTGGTCTTACTAATAGAAAGAAAAGATGTTATAACCAAGCACTTAGACATCACCAGGCAACCAAGACACATACAGACATAAACTGTTTTAGTGCCTGAATATTTAGATAACACAACTTTGTGCACGACATCTCTCCAGTTTACAAAAATAATTTTAAAAGGC